TGAAGGCCATAATTCGTGCCAAATTCGAACAAATCTAAACTTATTCTAAAATTTGATGCTATTTCCGACATTTTTGCTTTCATTCAATAAAATTTTAAAAAAATGTAAAAATTATGGCGTTTGACTTGGTTGCAGTTTTTGATCTCACACTATATATTCAATATATATAGTTATTAATTTATTATAATCAATCATCATTCAAAACGTCCAGCTCATATCTTCGTTCTTGCCGGCAAAAATTTGAATGTGTCAATTGTCATAAAGCTGCACTTAGTGGTATAGGTTATAATCAGAGAAGGTTCAAATAGATTTAAAATATTCCAAATCTCAACCAATGGAAACTGTGTTCCTTACCATTTTGAACTCCTGAATATGTATTGCCATATATTGTCATAATTTCTTTCTCTGTTACCATCTCCACCCAGATACATTGATCTCTTTCAATTAAAATTATATCGAACAATCTATGTTTGATATCGATCAAAATAAAATGTCAAACCAAGTTTTCAAAATGATCAATCATTTATTTTATTATAATTTTTTTTTTTTTTTTTTTTTTTGTCATCTATAGTTATGTTTGAACTCCAAAAGAAACCCAAACAAAAAACATCGTTTTGCTTGTCACCTTTGAAAGTGTCAAACTATTTAAGTCTTAGCGGTGTCACTCAATCACATAAAAGAACTACCAGAGCTGGAGCCAGCCATGCTAAATCAAACCCACGCTCAAACATAATAACCCACCCCCTTTTCTTAAAGTTCATTCGAATTCAATTCGAATGATACATATTTTATGGACATACTCGTAGATACATTCGCATGTAACTTGCCTTACCCAACCATGTCTTACAATGTGCTGTTTGTGCGCTAATAAGATTAGGTGGCAATTAATGTGATTAGGTTTAAATTGAAACTTCCGTCAAAATGACTGGCACATATTGAACCTAAGTGTGCGTGAGTATGTGTGCGTCTGTTTTTTGCATGCATTGTTCGGTAGTGTTTTAATATTAGCCGATCGATCGACTGGCATGAATGAATGAAACTCTAAGAAATTATGATCACAAACAGAATAAATGCTTGTTAAATGGGAATTTGATGGACAGTAGGGACATTCCTAAGCAAATTCTACTGAATAATGTACACTCGAGGAAAATGGTGAATTCAAATATTTGGTTCGATGTAAAAATTCATCGAATATGGAATGCATATATGGATATTGGGAAATGTGTACATTATGTGAATGAAAACAGAAAATATTTCAAAATAATGTACAATAGATAATACATGAAACTATAAAAAGTGATATAATTCCATACGTATATAGCTAACAGAAAGAGATGAAGCTTTACATTTTTTACATTACATTTTCGCAATCTCGTAGCATGGGATACGAAATTGTGACCCATTATCGACATTGAACAATTGAGAAATGATACAGCTCTAATTTTTCGCAAATTCGAATAATATGGTACAAAAGGTAGAATAGATGTCTAACACTCACACTCCACAGTGAAAAATACTCGCGAGTAGAAATATTTGAAGATTACGATTTTTACAAGAATTTTGCGCTCCACTCTTTTATATAAGAACGAGACAGCAGCACCCGTTTGTGTACGAAATTCTATAAAATGTCCAAAACATACCGTAGCGAATGGAATGAAACAGACTCTAGAACTATGTACAAATGAATTACTTCAAAAATGAATTAAGAAAATAGATGATAGACAATTCGAATGTGCTATTTTTGGTACGAAAAAAATATAAATGGGTCTAAAAATACTACTCTTTTTGCAAAAATTTAAGATGAAAGACGAGTGGTCCAATATTGCCCATTTCGTATCTGGCATATGTTTATACACATATTACAACGTTTCAAATTTGGACTTTATTTACTACTTCCTTCACTTTACATGAGATATTTCATAATTTTTGGAAAATGTATAAGTGGAATATGTACTAATACTGGTCAAAAAATTTTAGAGTGTACAAAATTTAAAGAGAGAAGGATCTCAAATTTTTTGACTAGTTATCAGAGATATATTTATTAAAAATTGTGACCCTTTGTAGGCGAGGTTAGTAAAAATATTGGGATGTGCGAAATATAATGAGAATAGCTTTTATGAATTTTTTATTTCTAAAAAAATTGACTCCGATATCGAAGAAGCGGTCCGATATCTACCATCTTCACAACAGATCTTGTGTTGATAGAAATATTGAAATTTCTGAAGTTGAGAATAAACCTCTTTATTCAAAATGTTAACCATTCGTGGGAGAGGTACCAGAAAGGGGTATAAAGGGCGATATCTCTAATTTTCACACCGGAATTTGCGTTAGTAAAAATATTGGGATATGTGAAATGTGAAGAAGTCTTATGTGTATTTCTCCGTTTACCTGAGGTATTATAAGGAGTGGTCCAATATATCTCATCTTCACACCAGATCTTGTCAAAAATGTTAGGATGTGCGGAGTTTGAGGCAATCGGGCTGTTATTTCACATAAGAGTTATGATTATCCAAAATTTTGTCCCCTAATGGGTGAGGCACTAAAAAGGAGTGGGCCGATATTTTCCATTTTCCCATCTTAAAATTTCCCACTTATTAAAATATTGGCATTGCAAAGTTTGTAGAGCATTGGATGATCGTTTCTTGTTCTATAACGTAAAATATTTTCTTTGAAAATTTTGACCTTTTGTGGAAAGGTACCAAAAGGTGTGCCCCGATATTGTCCATCTCCGAACTCGATCTAAGTTTGGCAAAAATATAACGATGTACCAAGTTTGGACAAAATCGGATATTGTCTTCGAGAGCCAGACACACAGACGGTCGGACGTCACCAAATCAACTCCAAAGAGACCTAGGGTCTAAAGCTGTTATTTAAATAAGGCACGTTTTGACCCATATGACTGAGGCAACTGACGAATTCATCAATGTTTGTGTAGTAAACTAGTCCATTGTATCGTTCAAACGAATAGAGCTAGAAATTTGGATTGATGATCGCTAATGGATTGTGGGATAACTGTACTAAATATACCAAAGACTACTAAATTTAGAACCATTTGTTCTTATGTGAACGTATAAAGCTAAAATCTCGGTATTTGATATAAGAATTATTTAGGGAAGTAGGGTTCATATGAAGAGGTGGTTTTGAAAATATTACCAAATTTTGTACAATTTGGTGTTGGGTGAACATAAGGAGCTGGAATTTTTAAATGTTGAAATTGGGGGTGGGTCGGGGTGTTTGAGATTTAAAGGTCGGGGTGTTTGAAATTTAAGTAAGGTCGGGCGGGCCGACTATATGATACCCTACACCACTTTGCATATTTAGTGGAGCTCCCGTAACAAAAGAATTTATATGGGAAGTTTATTTGAAGTAGATCATAACACCTATCTACATTTGGCTTTAGAGCAGTTAAAATTACTAATACGGGGTCGGACACCATAATTTTTACATTTTTTTTTAATTTTATCGAATGAAAGCAAAAAATGTCGGAAATAGCATCAAATTTTAAAATAAGTTTAGATTTGTTCGAATTGGTCACCTTTGGCATGAGTTATGGCCTTCAAATGTGTTTCGATCAAGTCGCTTCTTTACTTTTCGAACCATTTCTGCGGATGTTGCTGTTTTCTTCCGTCCACTTCCTTGACGTCGGGCTGCGCTACCAGCTGGAGTGCTCTAACGATAGCTACTTGTGGTTTTCCAGCCAAATATAAAGAAATCACACTATCACGCTTGAATTCCATCACGAATAACTTGTTTTCTGAAAAATTCTAACCAAAATGCTTTTGTACGCCTGTAAACAATATAATGAGTTGTCACTGGAACACAGCTGTCGGACGAGTGGCTTAGAAATGACAGCAGTCTGAAGTTGGTTGCAGTTTTTTCATCTCACCCTGTATATCCTACACACCAAATACCAACGACATTTAATACATTACCATGTACGATATTATCTATTTCAAATTTCAAGCTACGTACAGTGACCCTTATACCAAAATGTGCAATTCCATTCATTTCGTAAGCTTTTCCAAAAACACAGTATTATTCTCATCCTGTATACCCACAGTGACCCTAACAACATTTCCATTCCTACTCTATGTAACAAATTTAGTACAATTTAATACTTTCGTACACGATATAGTACGCCTTTCCAAAATTATCTCCTTACGTAAACGCCTCATACCAATGTACAATTTCAGCTGTTCCTACAAATTTGGTGTCATTTAGTACTTTTCCGTACACTATAATGTTCGTACTTACTAAAAACCCTTTGTTACATATTTTCCAAATTTCTGATTTCTTGATTTATCCGTTCGCCCTATACAAATGCTACCATATTTAGTACCTTTTAATGCTTTTCATACATTTCTAGTCGGAAATTCCAAAATGTTTATCAATACACCTTTTTTTATAGTCACCCTACAAAAAATGCAGATCTTTAATTGTACCATAATTAGTACATTCTTGTACTTTTCGTAACCTTTCATGTATTTTTTCCCATCCATATCCTTGAGAACTTAAATAAAATGAAACTTCATTCGTTTCGACAGATTTTTTTCTCTGGGTGTAACATTTTCCACATCACCTACTGGCATTCGAACGAGTGGACAAGTCCAAGGTATTACAAAGAATTATTAGAATTCTTTAAGAATGGAAAGCAAATTTGAAACACACACACCCTTTTTAATGGAACTGCAATTAGTGGTCGCCATGGTCAGTTTGCTAATAGATGGCGGATTATGAAGTTTTGTGGCAACAACAAGCAAACAAAGCTTGTCAAAAGTTGTTGCTGATCAAAATATTATTATTATTGGCGGCATGAAGGTCTCCCGTCAATGGATATTGTTAGAAAAAAATGGTTGGCTAAAAATATATATCTCCCAGAAGAACACACCTTATGCACATTCACATACATAGGCAAAATGAGAAACTGCATAGACATACAAAAATTTAAAATTGATGGATGGAATTTAACACAATTTTGTTTCCTTTCATTTATTTTTCAGATTTTATTATTCGTGGCAATAGTGGTGATGATGGCCACAAATACCTATGGCCAGACCAAACCCGGATTGCGACGTAAACCTAAGATCTATAATGCTCTTATTACAACCGATGAAAATCTTGTACAAAGTAGAGCATATCCCGTGATACAGCCCACAATACATGAATCGGGGATTGCTCACTATGCACCATTTGGGCCATATGGTCCATATACAGGTCTCTATAATCCCCACGTGGTTCGATTTGGCCAACCCATTGTACCCAATTTAATGCCCAAAGAACAGGTTGGTAACAATATTAAGTTGGTAAATATTTTTTTGGAAAAATTATACTAATTTGGTTTTTCTTGCAGTTACCCTACCCCTTGCCAGTGCCACAATTTCCCCCGCAAGTAATGGCCCAACCATTGGGTCCACAACCCCAACCATATCCCGGTTATCCATTACCACCCAATGTGGCGCCAGCAGAAAGCAAACCATCTGAAGCCCAGACCCCACCAACGGCGGCGGGTGCCGAAGAACCAGCGCCCACCGTACAGCCACCCACAATGCTTATGGCAGAAAAGGATCCAAAACCCGAAGATAAAATGCCTTCCGAACAATTACCCATACCTTTAAATCAATATGGTTTGCCACCTTCCCTTATTCCCTTGAGGCAGCCAGCATATCCCCAACTTCCTGCAGCTGGACAATCACCCTATTTACCACCCTATGCCTTCAATCAATTCCCACCACTCTATTATAAAAATCCCGCCGTTTTAAGGCAACAATTTTTACCACCCTATGGATATTTGCCAACTGGTCCCCAATTCCCATTGAGCAATGCAATACCCAAAGATGATCCCTATGCCCCACCAGCAGCAGCAGTACCAACTCCTGCACCCCAGGTGCCACCAACTCCACCAAATGTTATGCCAACACCAGCAGCACCCCAGCAACCGCCACCAAGTACAGAGGCTGCACCTCCTCTACCACCCACTCCAGCAGAAAATCCCGAACCCGCACCGGCCGATTTTGAAACAATTAAAAATGGTTCAAAAAGTGCCGACAGCAATGTACCCGATGTTCCACCACCTCCAATACCATCCGGTGCCAAATCGAAACAATCTTAAGTTTGTGTTTATCTTCTTTTTTTGTAATTATTTAGGGAAATTTCTTTGATAAGTTATTATTTATTTATCTGTCTTTTTTTATTAAACTATTAACTCTCACTCGAAGTGGAAAGTGATTTTCCAAAAAACAAAAAAAAAACATTTTTTGTACTTAAGCAAAAATTAGTTTAAGGATCTAAGTTATATGCACTGCACTAACTACATACATACAGACAAATATAAACAATTGAAATTAGATGCGGTTTTAAATAAATAAAGAAAAAAATTAAAATAAAATAGTTCTACTAATTTTTTTTTATAATAAACAGAAGATCTTATATACGACTTCAAGCTCTTCTATACGAATAGAAGACCTTGAAGCTCTTCTATACACAAAGGAGACCTTTAAGCTTTTCTACAGGGTGAGATGAAAAAAACTGCAACCAACATCAGACTGCTGTCATTTCTAAGCCACTTGTCCGACAGCTGTTAAAATTATTGCAGTGACAGCTTAATATAATGTTTACAAGCGAACAAAAGCATTTTGGTGAGAATTTTCCACAAAAAAGTTATTCGCGATAGAATTCAAGCCTAATAGTCTGATTTCTTTATATTTAGCTGGAAAACCACAAGTGGCGATCGCTAGAGCACTCCAGAATTTAAATGTGAATAAATCTTTTGTGTCTCGTACCATCGCTCGTTACCATGATACTGATAGCATAACTTGACGTCAAAGAAGTAGACGCAAGAAAACAGCAACATCAGCAGAAATGGTTAGAAAAGTAGAGAAGCGATTTGATCGAAACCCACGTCGCAGTGGCCGAAAAATGGCTCGTGAGTTGAACATATCACAATGTTCCATTCGGCAAATATTGAAAAATGAGCTCGGGGTAAAGCCATTGAAATTCCAAAAAGTGTAAGAGCTTACACCGCAACAGAAAGATGATAGACTCAAAAAAGCTAAAGAGTTGCTTCGCTTGGCCGAAGAAAGTAGTAAACTGCCGAATTTGGTTTTCTCCGATGAGAAAACATTCGTTGTCCAGCAGTTTGTAAACAAACAAAATGATCGTGTTTACTTGCCAAAGAGTTGAGCTGAAAATGTGCACTTTCCGTTGACCATCAGAACTCAAACGCCGGCCATGGTGATGGTGTGGGCCGCCATAACAGCCGATGGTCGCTTTCCGCTCGTATTAATCGACCATGGCATCAGAATAAATGCCTAATATTATCGCGAAAATATTCTGGAGGGTGTATTAAAGCCTTGGGCGCGACACAAACATTTTGGCCGAAGACCTTGGACATTCCAACAGGACTCAGCACCATCGCACTCAGCACGCGCCACCCAAGAATGGTTACAAAAATTAGGTTCCTCGCTTCATTTCCAACGCACAATGGCCACCATTGCCACCAATCCGTTGGACTATTGTGTCTGGAGTATTTTGGAAAGCAAGGTTGGCACTAAAAAATACCAAAGTGACGATCACCTCAAGCAAACGCTTCACCGGAAAGTGGCCAAAATACAGTAGAGCAACATTTGGGCAGCGTGAGACGGTTTCATTGGCCGTAGTTAAGTGAAGGCCATATTTCGTGTCAAAGGCGACCAATTCGAACAAATCTAAACTTTTTCAAAAATTTGATGCTATTTCCGACATTTTTTGCTTTCATTTAATAAAATTTAGAAAAAAAATGTAAAAATGATGGCGTTTGACTTTGTTGCAGTTTTTTTTATCTCACCCTGTATACACATAGAAGACCTTTAAGCCCTTCTATACACATAGAAGACCCTAAAACTCTTCTATACACAAAGAAGACCTTAAAGCTCTTCTATACACATAGAAGACCCTAAAGCACATGGAAGACCTTTAAGCTCTTCTATACACATAGAAGACCTTAAAGCTCTTCTATACACATAGAAGACCTTAAAGCTCTTCTATACACATAGAAGACCTTAAAACTCTTCTATATACATCGAAGACCTTAAAGTTCTTCTATAAACATAGAAGCATAGCAATAGAAGACCTTAAAGATCTTCTATGCGGATAAAAGACGTCCAAGATCATATATGGCAAAAGAAAAACTTAAAGAAGAATACTTTAGATAGCCATGAAAGGTCTTAAAGCTCTTCTATACCAATTCAGGACATTTGTAAATCCATTTTTATCCCACATATGCATACAATCTAAAATTTCTTCTGCCCAAAGACCTTACATTTCCAACCCCAAAAATCGAATTTTTCATTTCATGATGTTGTTTTACACCAAAATTTACAAAAAATTCTTTTTCCTCCACATCCATCAATGTAAATGTCAAAGAACCGATCAATGTTTCCCGTGGGATAAATGCATATGCTGTTCCACCAAAGTGCGGAAAATAAAACATGGAAGTTGCAAATATGTGCGAATGTAATCAATCAATAGCTGGCGCATGCAAGCGACGATAAAAGATCAATAACACTTTCGCTTTCATGCAGGCAAAAATGATTGCATCGAACCAACAACAAATGAAAAAATCCACATGTCTCTCAAGGGAATAGAGATGACAAAAACCACAGCATCAATTGTGGGGGTAAAGAGAGAGGGGCAACCCCAAATGGAAACATATAAAATGCTGGAATTACCGAAATCTGCAATCAGTTCTTGGCAGAAATTCGTAGAAAAATGCAACTCAAAAATATTTGTTTGCCTCTGCTAGTTATCCTGTTGTTCGGCATTATTGGTGTGTAAAATATTTTTCTTTAGAATTTAAGAAAAAATAATTGTTGGTGTTTTTTATTCCGTTTTAGTTTGCCATGCTGGAACCTTTAAACCCTTCGTACGCAGTCGTTACAGTTTGCGCTGGCGCAAAACAACGGAAACTCCCAAGCTATGGGATTCGACGACCTCTTCACCCAAAATAGAAGTGGCAGCAACATCGAACACTGTGGAAGATATTAAAAAATTGGTTGAGACATCAACAGCCGCAATTATTGGTGGAGGAACGGTTAAAACTTCTACACATTCGCCGGATTATGATTATTATGGAAATAATGAAATCGAGGACAATGATCGTGCCCAGAATGTCAGTACTTAAAGCAGAATATGAATATAAATTTTTGAAAATATGTATTACATTCCTACAATTATATTTTGAATAAAGATTTTATATTATTAACAAAAAATATTAACAAAAAAACATAAATATTAAAAACATATTTTATGGTAAAAGCTGAAATCGATTCAGATATAGCTATAGCTATAGTTATTTTTGTCCTCCGCAGCCGTAATATGCACTCTGTAACAACAATATTTGGGGAAATATATCAAATGCAACTCAGAAATACCTTTGCTAAATTTTATCGAGATCGGTTCAGATTTGGATATAGCTCCCATATATAACTTCGTCCGATTTACCTTTTATTATGCACCAAACGTCTAATATTTGCCCAAATGTAATGGATTCGGTGGAATACGACCGAATTGAGTCTAGAAGCTAGTATGCCAAATTTGGTGAAGATCTGTTCAGATATAGCTATAGCTCCCATATATATTGTTCATCCGATTTGCTGTTTTTGTTATCCACAGCCGTAATATGCACTCCGTAACAACGATATTCAGGGAAATATTTCAAATACAGCTCAGAAATATCTTTGCCAAATTTTATCGAGATCGGTTCAAATTTGGATATAGTTCCCATATATATCTTTATCCGATTTCAAATTGATTGTTCACCAAATGGGCAATACAAGTCCGAATTTAAGAGATACAAATGCTTCGGCATATTTAGTCCTTTGAGCTTTAAATTATAATTATAATCATAGCGTGTATGATTGAATTCTCCCATAAAAAACTTCTAATTGTTATGTGGAGCTCTACTAAATTAGCAAAGTGGTGTAGGGTATCAGGACTTTCTTTACTGGTTTTTTTCAGTCCACTCCTTCTGGTACCTTCCCAAAAAGAGTCAATATTTTGAATATCTATAAAGCTCAAAAGACGAGAAATTACATCCGATTCCATTCAGACTTGGCACAGCTCAATATTTCTATCAACACAAGATCTGTTATAAATATGGTAGAGATCGGACCATTCCTTCTGGTACCTCCCCCACAAAGGGTAAAAATTTTGAATAACCAAAGTTATCATAAAATCCGAAATATGCATCAGGTTTACTTCAAATTTCACACTTTCTATTATTTTTACTAACAAAAGATTTCTTCTGGTACCTATGGTACATATAAAGAGGCACATTTTGCCCATATTAAATGATATATACCCTCTCTAGCCATATGGCTGAGGGTATAATAAACGAACTTGGGCTGAGGGTATACATCTGTATGCAAACCCGGCTGATACCATTCAACTTTTTTTCTTTGAATTTTTTGACCTTTTGTGAGTGAACCAATATCGTCCATGTCCGAACTCACTCTCAGTTTGGCAACAATGTACAGAGTTTGGACGAAATCAAATATTCCTTTCCAGAGTTATCGTAGGCAACGGACGATGAGATAAGTTTTAACTCTTTCGAATGAAATGTACCCTCTGTAGACTTATGGTTGAGGGTATAATAATACCATATCCGTGTTGGCCACATTTTGCAATCATCAAAATGCCGAATATCGGTAGGTAGGTACATGCGGGAGGAGATTCTAAAAATGAAGAAGAACGTATTTAAATCTATACCTAATTTATGGCCTGTTCCAGAACTGCAAAAATGTAAAAGTTTTTACTACGATAACCGATTTTCCCTTTATGATTATCCAAAAAAAACTAAACTAGTTGATTCATGCAGGTACTGGAGCAAAGTATTGGAGAATGTTTTTTAAGCACAAAAGGAACGCCGAGTATTTTAATTTGTTATTGATAATTTTAAATGGAAAGGTTAAATTTCAAAAATTCAAATACTAAACACCCGTAACGGTAAATGTTCCTGAACATTAACCAATTTCGCCACACTCCATATGGCATCTCTGTTACCAAAAAAACATATGTTTCCACAATAAAAACAATAACAAGTGAGCGAGCCGCCAGCCGGTTTGTATGAGAAGCTGTACATTAAAAAGTAATAAAATTAAACTTTCTGATAAAAGAAAATGTTAAAAATATTCCAAAAACTTGTTCATGTTCCAAATGTTTATTCAAAATCGACCAATTCCTGTATCAAAACACAAATGAGATGTATAACAGCCATTGGTAACAGGAATGAGTAAGTATGGCTGTATGTGTCTATGGCGTGTGGATGCGTATAGCACACAAGTGAATACCTACATAAAGCTTATGAATTGGTCTTAACAATAATCTTTGATTTGATTTTCAGCAGCAGTATTTCAGAGCCCGTGGAGAAGAGAGCAAGACTTGTTGCCACAGCAATCAATTCGACAATAAGATACAGTACAGCAACAACAGTTCCCGTACAAAAGAAGAAAAAAATGGTAAGAGGTGAAGTAAAGTAACGAGAAAATACAGAATTGTACATTAGAGAAGGGATTATTTGCCATGTCCATGGGAAGTTAAAGATACATGAAAAACGACACTTGTTGACTCATTTTATGTATACATATCAACAATTTGTTACTACAGGGGTTCTGTTGTTTGTTTGCTATTAAAAGTTGTAAAATTTTCAATCATTTTTAACTTGGCCTCTGGGGGTCAGACCTATTTTGATAAGAACAAATGGACATTTATTTAGGAATGCTAAGAAATGTTTTTTTTTTTTTTTTTAACTTGGAATTAATTATTTTATAACTTGTGTTTTTGTGATGTTATTGTATGTGAAACCAGTTTTTGATTAGTACATTCTAATGCGGTCACTGCACGACTTTCGCCTCAGCACTTCTTAATAAGAACATTTACAACATGTATTGGAAACTTCAAGGTTAATAAGGGAAATCTTTATTCATTCATTTGTTGCAGCAGGGGAGTGCATTAAAATTTTGATTTTAATTTTCGAACTTTTTAAAATAGTATATTAATATTCGGAGATTTGATCTAATTTTAAATGAAAGAGATTGGAAGACCTAAAAATGGTCCATACTACTATGTCGAAAGTAGGACCTCTATGTAAAGCAATGCTTCTTTCGTAACATCTTTAAATATAATATTTTGAGAGATTACGATTCTCGAATAGATACCATTAAATGGTGAACTATACCGAATTGTTTAATATATTATATAATGAAAATTAATGTAAAGTTGATTCTAAGCAATGAGAACCTGCAATTAAAATTACAGCCTAGTCGAGTTGTAGTTAACGATTAAATACGCCTGTACCGTATAAAAGCGGTTATATAGTTCATAAGCGTGATTATAGCAAGAGCTACTACACCCGATTCGATTTGGAAAATGTTTAATGCCGGATAAATACTTTCCTACACAATGAAAACGCAAAGTATTGGATTACGGATCAAACATTAGAATCTAGCAGCTGCAACAGTATGTTGTCTTGTCTCCCCTTCCTGAGAAGACGAAAGTTTGTCCAAAATCGAATCGATTTTTACATTCCATTCCTAAAAACAGATTCAACCATGGTCGCAAACATACGCACCAGTTTGGAAACATTTTTATCGTGTCTGAAATTTTTACAACTTGGATAAGAATGCAGCCTGAAACAAGTAAAAAAGCTATAAGTTCGGCCTGACCGAAATTTGAATACCCTCCACCATTTGGAAAGAATTTGGCAATTTTCGAAAAAAAAAATAAAATTCTGTTAAAATCTTAAAAATACCGAATGTAGCCATTATATTAGGGTCTATACGACGACGTTGACCTGCATTGGCAACTTATGTCCTACACCATTACAATATTCAAATGCTAAAATAATCAAAATACCGAATATCGGGAGGTACTTTTATTTGGGGGCTATATGAAGACGTGGACCAGTACAGACAATTTTCTGTCATAGGCTGTAGTATCCATTACGAACTTCAAGTACCAAATTTGAAACAATTCCGGTGAATAATGTCGCTAAAATCATCAAAATATCGAATATCGGGAGGTACCGTTATATGGGGGCTATATGAAGACGTGGACTTGCACGTCATAGGCACTAGTATCCGTTACGAACGTCAAGTACCAAATTTGAAACAATTCTGGTGAATGATGTCATCAAAATACCGAAAATGGGGAGGTGTCGTTATATGGGGGCTATACGGAGGCATGGACCTGCATCGCTAAATCGACATAGAATTTCATGCTGATCAAGAATATATATATTTTGTGAGGTCTAAAATGTATATTTCGAGGTGTTACAAACGAAATGACAAACTTAATATACGCTCCATACTATGGTGGAGGATATAAAAATGGGACCGAAGTTATTGAAACTGCAATATGGTTTCATGTAGAGAACTATGTACTCGTCGTCATGATGTGGAATGATTTTATCCTTCTATCCAATCGTGAAGAGTATACATTTTTCTACATGGAAACACCTTGCAATTTTTATGACTTCTGTCATAGATTTTCAAGCTCAATTCCTAACATAAATAATATTTTTAAGGGACATAAATTAAAAATTTCTATTAGCAACATGTTAGAGCTTCTACAATTCTTATTCTATAACAACATTTCTATTATATTTTTCAGGCCAAACTTACCGAACAGGAACGCGCTGAACAATTGCAACCTCTTTTGGATGCCGGTTGGTCGATGGTTAATGGACGTGACGCCATTTATCGTGAATACATTTTTCAAGATTTCAATCAATCTTTTAGATTTATGACCGGTGTTGCTCTCTTGGCAGAGAAAATGAATCATCATCCCGAATGGTTTAATGTCTATAATAAGCTTCAAGTTACAATGTCAACACATGATGTAGGCGGTTTAAGTGCCAAGGATATTCGTATGGCCAAGTACATGGAGGAAGAATTTAAACGTTATGCTTGAATAATTGAACAATAAATTGAAATGATGTTTTGTTTTGCTTGTTGAATCGGGAATTGCGTTTTGTTTTATTTGAGGGAACTTAAATTGACTTGCTTTGATGAATTGATCAGATCTGCACAGATTTTCCAATTGCCAAAGATATTCAGGTGACCAAGTACATGGAGGAAGTATTTAAACCGTAAATTGAAATTATGTTTTGATTTTATTGTTGAATCGGGAATTGTGTTTTGCTTTCTTTCGAGAAACTTAGGTTTGCTTTCTTAGTTGGATGTTGAACTTGTGTTTCTTGTTTTATTTGGGTGAATATTATCAGGCTTAGAAAATTGGTTTATCCGCTAGCTCCCTTTAATTATTTATTTGGTTTTGCGTAATGTTTCCTGGTCATAATTTTTTTCGTGAAAATAGCATTTATATTGGTAATTAAATTCGCAAATTCTTATTCTTCTGACATGCACAGATTTTCCAATTTTGCCACAATAATTTTTATCTGACACAATAACTTTTGTGGCCAAGTACATGGATCATGAATTGCTTAAATACTTAGACAATAATTATAAATGATATTTTGTTTTGATTGTTGATTACGGAATTTTACTTGGTTTACTTGAAGAAATCTAGGTTTACTTGCTTGGTTGAATGTTGAAGTTTTGTGTCTTGTTTTATTTGAGTGAATTTACTTAGGCTTATGGAAAATTTATTTATATGTGGTTTCCGGGTCATGGCTTCGTGAAGGTGCTACTTATTTACTTAAATTAATTATGCTTACACTTCGATGATGCATAGATTGATTTATCAATGTTGCTTTTGTTATCTGCCACAATTATTTTTGTGGCAATGGTTGTTAACACTTACATCTTATCATTATCTTATGTTAATTTGGTTAGTAGATTTTTTGTTATCCTTAAATTATGTTTAATGCTTAATCACTAACGGATTTGCTTAGAATCTCATAGTCAGCCTTTTCCAATACATCCGGAGATGAATCGTCCAGCACATAACCAATAGTTTTAAAGAATGCTCGGGCATTGTCATTATTTTTCAGTACCGTGAGTACTATTTTATCCATTTTCCAATGTTTTGCACAACGTTCCAATGCCAGCATCATATGTTTGCCCAATCCCTGGCGCTGGGCTGAGGGCTCAATTTGCATTTCATAACTAAAATTTGCACAAAATATATTACTTAATGTCAAATTGTTATATTCACACACTTACCAATATAGGACGGGGTGACCATAATCCATGTCGAAACGGAACATGGCATATGCAACAGGCGTTTTGTTCTTGTCAACCGCCACCAAATATCTAGCCCATCCCTTCATCAGATCATTTTGTTTCACTTTAGGCTGCCATCCCATACTAAGCTGTTTGTAAAAGGGTGAAACATTCTTTTCGGCCAACTTAAAAGCCCATTTTAATGTTTTACTATCCATATCGCCTTTGGCGCGGCAATATAGGCTATATGAAGCCCCGTCTTCTGGCTCCTTGGCTGATTTGTAAGAGAAAACATCTGGAAATGCTTCTAAAGGATTTTTCGATCGAGCAGCATTTTCAACATTCTTTTGCTGTGTGGCGGCATTGTTGGTATTGTTATTTGTCATTTTTAATGTACGTTTTATAATTCTTTTCGATCTTTCAATATTTTTGCGAAATTTACACGCGTACGAAGGCGGCAAAGAAATGTTTATAGCACAGAGTTGCTATTTTGCAATGTTACAGTGTTGCCAATAGAGAAAGTTAAATTGAGAGTTGCCAGAGATACCGTTACCTTGGTTATTGTTTTGTGATAGAGGGAGTTTCCCATGTCTCACAGTCAAATACATATTAGAGACAATATAATAAAATTAGAATAAATTTTAATATTTCGTAAAATGAAAAATAATTGCAAGAAATATAAATTTTTCATTGATGATTCAGCTACTGCTTTCCCAATTGTGTGGATGCCGGCGTCACAACGGTCAAATTCTTTTTCCCGTAACAGACTTAGTTCGTGTGCGTAGGGTACTTTTCGTGGTAGAAGAATACAGGTAAATGCATCAACGCTTGGAAACATTGATAAGTCAAAAATTTTAAATGTTTCTTCAAAAATAAGTATATTTGTTTATAAATAAGTATATTTTATTATTTTGTTATGATACGCATTTTTTAAGAATTGTTTTAAATTTGAAAAAAATTTTCAATTTCAAAATTGGTTTGAGTTGCAGTTGTGTCGATGCGACTACCAATATTCATCTATAATGGCTTGGAATCTCCTTCCTGTTTGTAAAAAAATATGTGGCAACATTCTCTTACTTATGACGTTATCACAAAAAACAGCTGTTCATCCCAAGTCAATTTATTTACAAAATTGGATTTAAAAATGTTGAATAGAAAATTATTTTAATTTGTAAGAATTGTTGAAAAATGCTTGTGATAACATCCTACAATTGGCATCGTATAAGAAAACATATGAAAATCTGTTTATTTTTAACAAAACATTTTGAAATTTTTGACACATCAATGTTCCCTAGCATAGATGCATCTACCTGCATTATTCTACCATGAATATTTGCTAATAACGAGTGTCACATTTTACAAAAAATAATGAAAAATAAAAATAACGAGTGTCACATTTTACAAAAAATAATGAAAAATAAATTTAGCTTCATTATCTTAATGCAGATAATGATACATCTTGCTCCTGATCTTCGCCATACATATCTTCATCAATTGTTAAATCAAAATCGCCAGCCGTTAATTTTCATAGCCTTGCCATAACAATCGAAAAACTTTTGGTATTCCCGCCTTCAACTATCGCAGCAAATATTTCAATTACGCCAAAAATCTGATTTTGGTCGGATGTGGCAACTACAAACATACAAAAGAAATAAATACAACAAAACAGACTTGATGGAGCTGGTTCCGTGCTCTTTTGGTGAATGTGTTCAAACCACTTATGTTGTCGGCCGTTTTGTTTTGATTCCTTTTGTGTTGTCCGCCTTTCCCTTTTGATTCCCATCTTTATTATCGATTTCTCTCTGAGCTGTCTTTCTTTTCAGTGTTGCCAAGTGTCCTTTGTTCTTTACTTCACTCTCCCGGTGGCGTCGGTGGCGACGGTTTGGTGTGTAAATTGTTAATTTATTAATTAATTCTTAATTATTTAATTATTTATCGTATTTCGATAAACAAATTAAAAAATGTTTAAAAAATCCAAAAATAAACATATAACACCACCAAGCCCTCCAACTTTGGACGAAATACTCTCCGATATACAAGTAGACATCGATATACCGACAGTTAACAACAATGCAAATCATAAATCTCCAACGGATGCAGTGACGAATCTTGATTCTTGGTGGCAGGTGTTTGAACAATTCATGGGTGATCTTAAGTGTCTGGAAATGGTACACAGTGAACTGGAGGGGTGTAAACTAAAATTGGAATCACAAAAACTCGAGATTGAGACCGAAGCAAAACTATTGAAAAATGATATAGATGAACAAAGAGCTCTAATAAAGGAGGCCTTAGAATAATGCAATGTTTGTTTTCTTGATTTATTTCGGTGGAATAGTTGTGGTAAGTCTAAAGAGAAGGATGGTATTTTTACCATAGATACTTTTAAGAGAAAGTTTTCCTGAGATCCAGCAATACAAGTATTTGGCCATTTATTTTAAAAAATATTAACTTTTTGTTCGAAAATGGCGAAAATGGAACCAAGACAACCTAGTATAACGAGTCAACGTACAAGATAATAAATCGTTTAAACACAGGGTAGAGTCTTTACTATATCTTTTAAATTTAACAATCTCCACCCGAGCATGCAAAGAAAGACCTTCACGATTTAGAGAGATATAACCGAGATCTTCTAGATCTATACGCCTATTAAGCAGGACTAAATGGTATACACTCTGCGGCGGTCAAAAAAGTTAAGGAGGGAATACCAGAGATAATCCCCATGTCATCACAGTTGCGAGAGTTGCCTCCACAAAATAGAGTAGTTTTATCACAGTGACACCTGGCGATGGTGTAGCCGCCTTAATTTGCATTGGACCCGAATTGACAGCAGTGCACGGAAAGCCTGTCCATCGTATGACAATTTTTAAACCGTCCAGCCTGTCATAATTAACTAATTCCAGTATTGCTAAGAACCCAGCAACCATAGTCGCTTCTTTTGAAACTGGTAGTTAGAGTCTAAGCCAGATTAGAAATAAATGCGAAAGAACACAGCAGTACGAACTGCTGTAGGTTGTGTGAGGATAGAAAAAGGCTCCGAGTCGATTAGACACCCACACGTATTCTTTCATTGTCCTTTTTGCTTACTCACAAAAGCTGCCCAATTCCAACAACCCTCTTTAAGTAGTACAACACCGGTATAAAGAAACGTTTCAATGATAAACAACTCAAGTTTTTAATTCAGGTTTTAATAGCAATCACCAGAGACTAATCTCGATGTCATATCCTTTTTGAAGATTCATCGGATCAAAGTAAATTGGATAGTAGATCAAAACTTCTCTAGCCTCAGCCCCCTAGAATAAGATTTAAATGAATTTAACCAGTAACTTTTCTTCATCAGAGATTTTAAAACCAAATTATTCTTGAGAATTTTTGGTTATAACTTAAAAAACTTCCGATGTACTTTTTGTGTGCGATGTGTTCCACAAATTTCCAAGTCTTCTCCTATGAACTTGGAAGCCTGAAAAACCTTCCCAATTTTCCAATCACAATTTTTAGCTTAAAAGATTAAACAAATGAAGTTTTTTTTTTTGCTTTCATATCAGTTGTATTTTTTATAATTCAAAATGCTTGTAACGTATTAAGTGGTTCACTTTTTGTTTAAATTGGTTATTTTCATAAAATGCAACATTGAACAAGCTTTTTGTGTAAAAATCAATCAAGCAAATGATTCGATTTTTACATCATAATTATTAAAATAATTCTTTTGCTGATAAGCAGTTTCATTTTTTATGGGCCCCAAGAAGTTTTATTTTTGTGTTGGGGCATTGTTGAGCTTTGCAGCTGTTTATTCCGTTTTGACGGGAACATAGGTTAAAATGATGGTGGAGTATGGAGACACCTCCAAATCAGCTGTGGCAATTTTATTCCTATAATACAAAAATGCAAACCATAAGTATATGAATATGTTTCAAATTAAAATATCTTAAACTTACTTGGCCACAACATTGGTAACATTGTAGTTATCACTAATGGATACCACAGTCATTTTTTCCGGCAAACTGCTGTTGTCGGTCACATTGGCCGCTTGGGTGGCATCAGTGGGATTGAACAGCACCAAGAAACCAGGATTGCCCGACTTTATTCTATATTCAGCAATAAAAGGTAAATGAAAATTAGCATTTCGATTTAAATAAAATAAAAACATAACAAATAAACACAAACTCATGCATAAAAATAATAAAATATGTATTATCAACCGTTACATTAGTACAGAAAATCCTCTCACCTTTGTCTAAATTGTATTATAACCACAACCATTGATGTAAAAAGTGTTAGCATTAGAAAGTATGGGAAATATTTTTTTAGAAATAAGTTAGTCACACAAGTTAACATTGTTAATTAGACAAATCACAAATAGCAAAGATATTCTCATTTAAACAATTTACCTTGTATATCCAACCAATGGATCAATGGGCAACAAATTGAAATCACCATGCATATAGGATGGCGACAGACGAGATGTCTCAATTTGTTTGGAAATGACATCACTTAGACTGCCATAGGCTCCCTTGTCAACGGGCACGACAGGTGTACCGGGCAACAGAGACAGGAATAAGATGACCGATGATGGTGGCACTTCAGAATTTACCTCAGCATCTTCCACATTCCATTGTAACCAAGTGTAGTTACCAGCTTCACGCATAACATTAGTCAATTCACTACGCAAATCCTTGTCCTTGGGTGAACTCAAAGTCTTGACAAACTTGCCATACAATGGTATATCAATGCCCATTTCACCCGAAGCGGTACGATAAACTTCTGGACGTATGACATCATCGGCAACAGACAAGAAACCATCTTCGGTGGTGTTTTTAACAACAGTCAAATATTCATAGAGCACATCACCCAAACCCTCTTGGAATGTTGTTTGCGTGTGAGTCCAGAAACCGTATTGGGTCAAATCATATTTGGGATTTTCAGCTGGCACTTCATCCTTGATTTGCTTGGACAAGATGAAGAATTTGGTATTCTTCAAGCGTATACCCTTGACACCCAATTGCACCAGATGTTGCAAAACATGACTCAATTCCTTCTTGACAATCGTATCGTTCATGTGCAGATCATACAAACCATCACCGAATTGCGACAGCACATAATTGCCTGGCATTACCTCAGCCCAGGCAGAACCATTTACCAATGACAACCAATTGTTGGGTACCTCGGGTTTTTCAATCCAAACAAAAGCAGAACGTTTCGTTTCATCATCCATGGCATCCTTCAATAGACGTGATGTCTTTGGCACAAAATTTGGTGTAATATCGAAAATTACGTTGGCTTCGGTATCCTTATAGTGATTGACAATGTTACGAATCTTCTCTTCGACATCGGGATCACGCACATTATAGGTAAGTTCGGCGGGCATTTCGTAAATAACACCGCTTGCTTTGAGTTGTTTAACTAATTCAACATTTTCATTGTTTGACTCGAAATTGGAGAACTTAGCCAAAATTCCACTCTTATACCAGGGCAATGGTTCGGGAGCAGCACATTTGGGTGTTTCGACAATAATCAGAATGGCACCCACCAACATACCCAACCATACCAACCAGAAAGCAATGAAGAAAATCCAACGTAAACGTATCCAGAACGGGTCATTGGCATATTTCATTAATTCCTCCTTGGTCATGCCAGTGAAAGCCTGATATAAAAAAGAAGAGAAATGGCAAAATTTAAAAAAAAAAAATTAAAGATGGGTCTTAAAGAAGATTATATTGATAAAAAAATGGGTGACGATAAAGATAAGCATAAAAATAGGCTGTAAACCAAATTAATAGATGCAATGAGAAAGAGTCAAGGTCAGATGGGCCGACTATATGTGGGTTTGGAAGGATGGAAGGAAGGAAGGTATTGTGTATTAGAGAGCTGTAGAGGGTGAGTTGAAAAAAAAAACTGCAACCAATTTCAGACTGCTGTCATTTCTAAGATACTCGCCCGAGAGCTGTTAAAATTATTCCAGTGACAGCTCATTATATTGTTTACAAGCGTACAAAAGCATTTTGGTAAGAATTTTCCAGAAAAAAAGTTATTTGTGATAATGTGATTTCTTTATATTTGGCTGGAAAACCTAACGATAGCTATGTGTGTGCACTCCAACATTTCTTTCTTTCTTTCTTTCTTTCTTTATTCAATTCATACTTAATACTAAAGCTTCCAAGGCCAATTAATTGTATTAATAAGGTACACACCAAGTAGAAAAAAATCAAAATAACTTATAATTAGCTATAACATTATTAAAAAAACAAATTATAAAAGGCTCCCCCAGCCAAAACTACAAAAAAAAAAAACAAAAGGCAAAATAACCAACAACAAGCAATTAATTTTTTTTAAGAAAGGTGAACAATAAAGGCGACGATAAAAATAATTTAAAAATTATTATAAAAAAGAAAATAAAAGCTCAAAACAACGAAAATAAAACTAATTGGGATAAACTAAATGGGATATATTTATATATATATAAATGTGTATAAATCTTTTGTGTCTCGGCCGAATACTATCGCGAAAATATTCTGGAGGTTGTATTAAAGCCTTGGGCACGCAAACATTTTGGCCGCAGACCTTGGACATTCTAACAAGACTAAGCACCATCGCACTCAGCACGCGCCACCCAAGAATGGTTACAAAATGAGGTTCCTCGCTTTATTTTCAGTGCACAATGGCCACCAAAATCTCGGGATTCAAATCCGTTGGACTATTGTGTCTGGAGTACTTTGGAATGTAAGGTTGACAAGCGCTTCGCCGGGAATGGGCCAAAATACCGCAGAGCAACATTCGGGCAGCGTGTAACAGTTTCATTGGCCGTTTGAAGGCCATAATTCGTGCCAAAGGTGACCAATTCGAACAAATCTAAACTTATTTAAATTTTCCTATAGCTCCTAAAATATCACCCATTATATTAACCAAAGCTAACTGTAACAAATATACGTTTATGTAGGGAATTTGTGTAAAGAGAGTTTTAAATTTTAAATCGGATGGAGCTAAATTATGGGATCTATTTCATAATTTTAATCGGTTTTCACTAAATTTGAGGGAAGTGTTTATATCTTGTATCAAAAATCATTGCTATAGAGTGAGTATTAAGACTTTAATATAAAATCGATTTGATGCAAACTTAGCATACTTGATTCTGGTCGTAACTTGATCATATGTTTGGTGCTTCATTTACATAAAATGAAAATACATATGGGAGCTATATCTAAATCTTAACCAATCTGGACCAAAAATGAGGAAAGTTGTAATTATGAATTTCAGATGTTTGCAAATATGGTTCTATGATATCTCAAGTGATGTAAAATATAAATATGCATTCCAAAATTAAACGAATAATTTGAGCCTACATGGTGTTTGATTTGTTTAATAAACTGAATTGAATTTAAATGCATTAAACTAGCACTACCAACCTGGTCGTTGTCCTTTTTACATGGAAGTTGCATTGATTTATTAATATATTCGCAAAACGTGAAAATTTGTTAAATAATCTATAGGTAGCTATATCTATTTCGATTTTTTTTAAATAATAACTTAATTTTATCGCATTTTATATTAATTCTAACTCACAATTTTATCAATCATCACAATCACATTGTATTCCAAATATTGTTTCCATAAACAACATTACAACTTACCTTTCCATTAACATTGCCAATATCAATTTTGGCATCGCCATTTTGATGGTCACCACCCTTGATGAATTTAACTTCTTCACGTTTTTCGGCCAACTTTTCATTATCTTCGGCACCTAACATTTGTTCGTCGGCGCCATCATTATTGATTTCTTCCTGCACCATTTTGGTATCTGTCGATGAATAATCACCGCCTTTGCTATCAACAATATTTTCGGTTGATGCTGTATTGGTTGACAATGATGACGTCGATGTCGTGTGTAAGTCTTCTGAAAATACAGAAAATGAGAAGAAAAGAAAAATTTGTGAATGAATTCTTTGCGATTAACAAGCACAAAGAGATAAGGGTAAAATGTATATACACATTTTCGTATTGAAGAAGTTATGTAATAAAAGTAATAAAACATTATTTATTTGCAGAATATGGGTATAAAAAAAACAAGAAAATCTATTATTTTTGAACCATGAAATATGAGCATTAATATTATGACTATAACAACATTTACGTGTGAACGAATAGCAGCACGTTTAACACGTACCATAATATTGGAAGTATAAAATATGCAATGTGTTGAAGATGGTCTTTAGGTCTGTACATAAGTTACTTCTTCGACGGAAGTATTAAAACAATTCATTACAACTAATCATAATAGCACCTTCAATGCGTTTCCAAAAAGGAACGAACCACAATATTTTAAACCGCGGATTGATGAACTTGAAGAAAGCAAGCCTTGCTGTAACGCTATCGAAATTTTTTTTTGTATTTTAAAAATGTGTACTAGTGTTCGGAAGATTTGTTCTCCACTACCTTCAAATAATAGTAGCAATTGATTTTTCAATGGCTTACTTCTTATCCTAGTTATTGTCATTGTTAGCTATGACCTTGATATTGTTGAACCCCCAGCATCAAGTACCTATTTCCGAGAAAGCGATAACTTATCTACAGGATATAGGGATCATGGGCACTCAACTCTTTCACTATACGGGCTGACTTCCTGTGGCATATACGTAAATATGACATTTCAAGAACCCCAATAATTGGGTGTGCCCAATTGATTTCTACTTTGTTCTCCTTGATGCTATGCAAATTGTCCCTTGTTTATATGCATATGATAGGAGAATCGGAATCATTTTATGGTTTTTGCATAAATTGTGACTTATTACTTATATTTGATCCTTAGTGGACAAGACTGGCGGCCTATAAGGATTGATCACCAAAATTGGAAATAAATTAGATAAAATACCTTTATATTCAAATTCAAATTGTATACGCTAGGGCAGTCATTACCTACATATGAGAGGGGTAGACAACGAAAGCCGGAGCGACAGATAACGGTCAACGGTATCAGTTTGGTTGCTCTTGAAACAGTGTAGTTTCAGAATCAATCTTATCTGTTGGAAAACTATAAATAAAACAGCGTAGAACAAGGATAAACTAAGTTTCTGCTTTCTTCCTAAATCGTTTTTTTTTTTTTGACAGTTGACCGCGTATATTTTGAAATGCATTTTTTCTACGTCGTTGGGTCAGGGTATCGCATGTCGAGTTTTTATTTTATTTTTATACCCTCAGGCATAAGGCTATAGAGGGTATATGTTTTTTTTTTTAGACCCTAGAATCTTTGAACCAAATCCGTCTGTCTGACTGGCTGATGCGCACGATAACTCTCAAAAGGAGTATCCGGTTTGGTCCAAACTTGGTACATCGTAATATTATTATCAAACTTAGATCGAGTTCGGAGATGGGTAATATCGCTCCATTCATTCTTGCACCTAACAATCCCCCCCTCCCCACTGCACTGCACAGACAGATAAAGGATAATCCGATTCTGCTCCAACTTTGCTAATCCTAATATTTGCGTTAGTTCTAGGTCAGGTGCAAAAATGGATAATATCGGTCTACACCATCAAGTGCCTCCTCCACAAAAGGTAAATATTTTTAATAATTATAACCCTTATAAATGTGATGTGAGAATCCGATTGTCTTAAAATGTCTCACATCCCAATATTTTTATAAACCCAAGATCGGGTGTACCTCTCCCACAAAAGGTCGAATTTTGAATACAAAATGAACAATATTGGCCCATTACTTTAGAACCTACTGCATAGAATACTAATAACACAAGTCAAAATATATTTTATTAGTCGAACATTGGCTGAGGGTATACATCTGTTGGCTAAACCGAGATATACTTTTTTTAACTTGTTTCTTTTACATTTGTATCGTTATAGTGGAACAGGTCCTTTTATTTTCCTTTATACATTGTCCCCGTATACCCATATTAATTTGTGAATATTAAAATAAATCATTTAGACTACGCCCATTTAAATGTGTACACGTTATCTTTTCGATGTAGGTTGCAGCTAAATTGAAATCCGATTTACCCCACAAACTTTTGTAAAAGCACACACAGAAAAAAACTGTCATTCTCTGATTATAGTGTGTAGTATTCGACAATCTTTAATCTTGAGACTGGGCTTATTTAGGGCCCGGACCGTCCTAAAAGAAAAATATCTCCGGAAATCTAGAGGTGTTTATAATTTTTTTGATTATATTGTAGATATCTTCTCCGTTCCAGATCCTGCAAGAATCTACTAGTTTTGCATTTTTTTCGATATCATAAAGGAAAAATCGGTTATCGTAGTAAAAACTTTGACATTCTTGCAGTTCTGTAACAGACCAATCGAAAAAAATAGCATCTTATTAAGATTGTACCTCATTGTCATTTCAACACAAAAAAAATTTTTTGTATGATCCTCATATAGGTACCTAACTACCCATATTAATTTATGTATATTAAAATAAATCACTACATAACTACTTGGACTACGCCCATTTAATTGTCTACACATTATCTTTTCGGCGTAGGTTGTAGCTAAATTGAAATCTGATATACCCCAACAACCTCTTGAAAAATCACACAGAGTGCAAAAAACTTTTATTCCCTGATTGAGACGGGCTTAATTAGGAAACTGTCTCGTATTAAAATGAAAGGTATGCACACACATATATTCATATTAAAATACAAATAAACGGAATTTGTGCAATTCTACACATTTTTATTAAATGGAATTCATTTAATAACAACAACATACAAAGGTATATGAATTCTCTGGATTTCCAACATCCATTTATATGAACTAAATTGCTTGAGAATTGCTGACGCAACAAAGGCAAATTCAGTGGTGAGATTTTGGGGCGTTGTGTAGTTAGGATACAACAGCAGCATTCAATTGAACGTTCCTACACTTCTCTCACAATTAAAGATTTTCTTAATATTCGTCGGATTTTGCCAACATCCCCTCTTAGAGCATCTTGCAAAGCCACGTGCAACCATAAATTGCTAAAAAAGAATACCTATATCGACTATTTGAAACATGTTGGCATTGTTGTTGTTATATGCAGTATAGAACTTTTATCATGTCTGTATAACAGAAAACTTATAAAATATGTAGATACATTCAAGCTGAAACCAGCCAGCACAACACGCACACATAATTTGTAATGTTGTTAAATTGCCTTCCCCAAGAGTAACCTTAGTCTATTAATAATATAATATGCTATTAATATCACACATAAACATTTCAATAAATTATAAACTTAAATTGAATATTTTAAGCTTACCTTTACTTTCACTGTCCCTTGGAAGAGCTTCTTTCTTTTCAATGTTGCTATCCTCCGATATCGATTTGAATACTTCAACTTCTGTTTGACGATTGTCTGTCGCCGCCTCCAATTCAGCCGAGCTGACATTCACTTTTCTTTTATTCTTTGTTAATATCTTCATCATAGTTTTCTGTTGTTCCTTGTTATTCTATTGTTCACAAGGGTTGATAATTGTTGCCAGATTGTTTTATTGTATGTTGAACACAACGTAGGCGCAGACGTCAAAGTTTAAAACAGACGATTATGGTGAGGTGCTAACGAATTATTTTTCTATATGAAAATATATGATACATAATACTACTATTTAAAAAATTTTAATTTTTTTTTTACTTCTTAATGTATTTATTAATTCATTATTTTATTTGTTTATTTAATATTAATGTGAAAAAATGTAATGGAGAAAGGTACAATGTAGCGAACTGTTAAAAAAATGTTAATGAATAAACCATAGTAAAATTAAGAAGGTAAAGTCATTTCAAAAAAATACACCCGTGTCTACATTTTCTGTAATTTACCTTGTAAAATTTCACTGCATAAAAATTGGTTTCCATACCTCCATCCGGTCAAATAAATAATTTTGAAAAAATTCTAAACATATGATTGCATGACCTCATCTTCTTGATTCTACAATGAAATAAACTCTATTATCGTAGAATTATTTAAGAACTAATAGGAAAGGCGTTACTTAGTTCCACAAAAACTAGATTTTAATACTCCCCATTCATGATGCATTTACAGTAAGGTAGTAGCAAAACCAGCTGCAACTGAATTGATTCTATTGTGATATAAGTTCGAATTCATGTTGAACATTTTTTCAAAGCAATATTGAAAAAAATTCCCTGACAATAGAAAATGTTTCCCTTCACCTTAGTCATGATAGAACTAAGATGGAAACTTCATGCAATCAAATAATTACAACCATGGCCCAATAAGAAAGGTTGCTCAACTTCAACTAGAAAAATGCAACTCTGTGCTGGAGTCTTATAGTGTCAAATAGACTTTAAAGTATACAACAGTTGGCATTATTAATTTTTTTTTTCAAAATTCTTTTATTGGGAAAAACCTGCGATACAAAGTTTGGAATATCAGGGTTATTCCACAAGATTGAATCTAAAATAGTAGGACAATAATGTTGAATCACAAAATTGTACAATTTGTTACCTATTTCGTCTAAAATTTGCATTTATTTTGCAACCAAATTTGAAACAATTTCAAATTATTGTATTTTTAATTCAAAACAATACACACACATACACAAAATGTGTATGTTTTGACAGAATTGGGGCACAAAAAGAAAAAAAATCGTGTTTAAGGGGTAGCTTTGTTCTATCTTCAGCAATTATGCCACATGGTAGAAAAAATACAGGTACATGCATTAACGCTTGGGAACATTGATATGTCAAAAATTTTTAAATGTCTTTTCAAATATAAGTAGATTTTTATTTGTTTTCTTATACGACGTCGTTCGGAGGTTATTGTAATACGCGATTTTTAAAAATTTTTACAAATTTAAATAATTTTTCATTCAACATTTTCAATCCCAAAATTGGTTTGACAGTTCATTGTCCCAGCAGCTGTATCGATGCGTCTACATATATTCTTCTAACATGTTATGCCATGATTACAACCATGGTACAATAAAAAGGTAAGGTGCTGGTAAGAGCTACCAGCTGATAACAATTATTCTTCTAAATGTGCTCGAATTCTACCAATTTTGTGTATTTATTTATTGTTTTGAATATGAGGAAAATTAAAAATGAGGAAAAATATTGAATAAATGAAAACAACTTTTTGTATGCAGATTTGTCAAGAAACGGGCATAGCCTCAGAGCTGTATTTCTGTAGTTTTATGAAGCTGCTATACCTCTGTATTGTATCATGATTATAATTTTTTTAAATTATTCATTTGACAACATCTCATTGTCAAAATTTATGTTTACAAATCCATTGTAAACAAACAAATCAGTAATGGGAACCAATTTTCTATGCAATGAAATTTGACGAGGTAAGTTACACAAAATGCAGGGATGGGAATGCTTATTTGAAATGACTTAACCTTTTTAATTTTACCATGACCATAATATAGAGGGTATATTATATTAAATAGAATGGCAACCAATTGTAACTCCTCAAAAAAAGCATTTTAGACCCCTAAGGGCCAACACAAGATTGTTACCATGGTAAAATTAAGAAGGTAAAGTCATTTCAAATAAGCATTCCCATCTCTGCATTTTCTGTAATTTACCTTGTCATATTTCAGTGTTTAAAAAAGGGATCCATCTCTGATTTCTGTGTATAGAATCGATTCATAAATATACATTTTGACAAAGAGATGTTGTCGAACCAATAATTTTGAAAAAATGTAAACATATGATTGCATGGCTTTACCTTCTTAATTCTACCATGCTTGTTACACTTGATGTTCAGATTTTTTAAAATATTAACAACACTTTTCAACAGACTTTTTTTGCATTCTGCGAGATTCGTTGCATTAAAGATTCGTCCCTGCCGAACTTATCTGATCTTTTCATTGTTTGATTCGTAACGGATAAATTACAATCTCGCATTAACATTCAGTTTTTTACAGGTGTTGTGGGTATGGAAGCATATTGATTGCCTTAAATTGTTCCGTAATGATTAAACTTAACACTTTTGACATGTTTTGTTATTTCAATTTACCTTTCGATTAGGCGCCACAAATCCTTAATAATTTTATAAAATTATTTTACTCAATGACAATTTTTTTAGCAGTATTACGAATATTCTTTAATTATTTTTTTATTCAAACTTCTGATGCAATTTTGCAGTGACTTTCTTTTTTTAAAACTACATCAATCACAAGTTGCAGAGTAAAGCAACGAACTATTCAACGTGTCAATACATCCAATACAATGGACAAAGCGCAACTAATGTTGCGCATTGGCATGCATTGAACTTTTAATGCGTGTGTGGAGTGAGCGCTTGAAGCTGCAAAATTAAATTGCAGTTTGCAGTGCAGACTCAATATCAGGTTTTAAGAAATGCAAAGAAATTATACCTAACTAACAACCAGTGGACAGAAAAACCGCACATACCTAGGTGTGTACAAATGTACAGTGGTTAACAAAAGTTCTTTGATATTTTGACCCAAACATTAAATATTTCGCAATATTCATAGGAGGCAGCGTATATGAGAAATACATTTAGTTTTTGCTTAGACTTAAAATAAATGTTATTAGTGATTTTTGGTGTTATATCTTCACAACAATTCTATTATATCCAAGTCCAAAAACACAGTAGCAATGTACATTGCCCCGTCATGTCATGCAACTACAAAAGACGAGAATATCAAAAAGCGATATCATAGTGAAAAGAACTTGAACAAGCGTTTCAAATTCCACTAATACACACACATAAGTGGGTAGGTATGTGCTGGAATGCACAATCGAGACAGTTTTTTTGTGCTGATTTGAAAATTCATGTTGTATCGGAACATCTCAAATAAGCGAGTATATCTTTTTTTGGGAGCAATCACTTATAACAAAATGCTTGATGTATGTGGCTATAGCTTATTAAACATCTTTCATATCAAATTATTTAAAATTGGATGTTTGCGCCCGAGGAGAAACGAATATTTTTGGTTTAACAAAATGTTGGCATCATTTCGGTGGAATCCTTTTTCAACCGTGATTTGATGTTGAAGGGTCCACATTGGTTTTGCCCACGCGGGGATTTTAAGTAACCAGAAATGTTTTTCGGTGTTTTAAAATATCTAAAATGTTACCATTTCTGAGGGGGCCCGGCCCCAACCCTCACTTTGTCGGCGCAACACGTACAATAAATACAATTCAACAAGAATCTCATAAAAATTTGCTGGTGTTAGAGTTAAGGTGGGAATACATAAAGAGCTTATTTGGCTGGCTTCTTCGGAAATGAACAAAGGAGCGTATGGTTAAAATCGAGCCAAGTCAACCTGAAACTCCTTTATTTCTCTACAAAGAGCCAGCCGATGACTTAAGCCTGCTAAGTAAGCGCTTTATGTATTCCCACCTTTAGGGTGTTAGCACATAAGAAGCTTGAAGTCATGGCTAGGCAAATTTTGTGACATTTCATTGACTTAAGCCAGCTAAATAAGCGGTTTATGTATTCCCACATTTTGGGTGTAAGAACATAAGAAGCTTGAAGTCATGGCTAGGCAAATTTTGTGACATTTCGTAAAACCCTGGCCTCGTTTTCCATTATAAGTTGACATTTATATGCCTAGCCATGACTTCGAATTTGAAATTGTAAAAAATAACACAAAAAATTAAATTTTAATCAATTTTTTTATTCGAAAGATCAATACCTGACATTAACATTTGAAAATGATTTCGGACATATGGGCACCGCGGCTGTTCTTGACGAAGTGCATTCCGGACGTCCACTTCCGGCCTCATTTTTGAAGAAATAAGGTACGATGATGCCACCAGCATCCTTGTTTCTTCGAACAACATTTCTTATTGAGCCATAATATCAACATATTATCTTAATTTTAAAAAATTACATTTTTGGAATTTGGATTATTAAATTGAAAATGCTTTCACACATGATACAATAAATAGGTAAGGTACAGCTACAATTTTTGACTAAAGGTGAGAATACATAAAACGAAATATGGTATTGGAATTCCTTCTTAATTATACCAAGATATAAACCTTTTGTGTATCAGAAAAATTAAATTTAAATCCATAATGTGATTTTTTGTTAACATACATCTATAATTTTTGAAAATCTTGTTTTTAAGAAAATTGATACTTTCGAGTTATACCACCTTTCCAAGGTGGAGAGTATGGAACAATAAGGAGGTAGAACAGCTTCTCAAAACTACAAAAATACACACATGAGGCCATACCCGCTTTCTGTCAAATTTGCATGCAACAAGTTTTAACATTTATTTCATATTTTTGGTAATTTCTAAAATGAGTCAAATAGCGCGAAATATTATGGAAATGTCTGGATGTTCTCTCAAAAACATGACCCTAAGTGTTTAATCTTTCAATTCCATGGCAAATCTCATTAATATTATTAACGCGCGCCCGGCAATTCAAGTTTTTTTCCAATCATTGATTTCGAAAATATTTTGTTTTTATTTTTCAAAACAACAAACACATACACAAAATTGGCAGAAGTCGGACACACTTAGAAAAAAATGTAATCAGCTGGGAGCTCTCCTTTAACTTTTATTGTACCATGGGTGAAGGGTATAAAAAAACAATTATAGAAAAGAATGACAAATAAAAGTTTGTATAGTTCAAACAATTGGTTTCTAAATTCTAATCCATAGACATTTCCAATTAATTGCCAAAGACCTAAAATGATAAAGACTAGATAATGCATTTTGAGCAAATGATTTGTGTCAGCAATATATAGAGACAGATGCATTTATATATAAAAACCACAATTACAGAGACGAATGGCAAATAAAAGTTTGAAAAATCCAAAAATGTGGTTTCAAATTGTATTCCATAGTCCTTTCCAAAATTTTGCATATTGCCTTAGCGGTTTAAATCAGTCAACATTAGTATCTATGTTGTTATGATATCATAACAACAGAGTTGCCATATTCTGACTTTGTCTTGTGCAATATGAACCCAGCGGTTTAAATAAGTTAATCACAAATTATTTAAAATCATGCAAATTTTTAATTTTAGTAAATATTAGTATTGAATTATTCAACATTATTTGAGCTTAACATAAATACATGTGCTCTGTTTCGGGACTTGTAAAGTATCAGCAAGAGTTCTTGTACAACAGTTTCAAACATATCGAATGTAAACATACAGAAACAAGGTCTACTACCAATATTCTATTCTATGTCTTTGCTTGCTATTTGCTATGCTCCAGAACGGAATCTATGTTATTAGAAAATTTGGCAACCTTATCATATGTTTTGCACCCCAATTTTCTCACTCTCATTTTTTTGCACACACACACTTTTTCTCTCTCTGTTATCATCAAAATAACAGTACAAATCTCAACCCCCTGCCTCTTGCATGATAACACCTAAAAGGCAATTGACATTTATTAAAATTAATAGAACTAATTCAACGAGCTACAACTGAGATAAATTCGACGGAAAATTTTGATTGTGGTAACTTGTGATTTGGGTGCAAAGTAACAAAACCCGAAATTTTCTCCAAAAGTTCATACTGCAGGCAGTATACCAATAAAAAAATCGAACATTTATTAAATAATCAATAAGGAAAATGTTGCGATTGGCAGTGTCGAGTGTCCTTATGATTAAGCCACAAATACAACAACGAGCAATGTCTTCTTTGGTATGTTCAAAGGCATTGATTGATGGCAAGTGGGTATCAGCCAGCAGCGGTGAAACATTTGAGGTTAAAAATCCGGCTAACAATAGGGTGGTCGGTAGTGTACCCAACATGAATGCCAAGGATGCTCAATTGGCCATAGATGCTGCAAAGAAGGCATTCTATTCAAATGAATGGGCCGGTTTGACAGCCAAACAAAGATCTCAGTTGTTGAAGGTGTGTAAAATTTAAAACGTTCCTCGGTATCTTTATTCTAATCTACCATATTTTGTTTATTTAGAATTGGTACCATCTGATCGAAAAGAACACCCAAGAAATTGCCGAAATTATGACAGCAGAATCTGGCAAACCCATAAATGAATCCAAGGGAGAAGTAGCCTATGGCAATTCATTCATGGAATGGTTTGCCGAAGAGACAAGACGAATTTATGGAGAAATTGTTCCATCCCCAATACAGAATAGAGAAATTATTGTTATGAAGCAACCTTTGGGAGTGGCAGCCCTCATAACACCCTGGAATTTCCCATTGGCAATGATCACACGCAAGGCTGGAGCAGCTCTAGCTTCAGGTAAGTTGTTGTACTCCGTTTAAAAGTTTTTGAATTGCTTATTGATAAATTCAATTGCTTCAGGCTGCACCGTTGTCATAAAACCAGCAGAAGATACACCCTTGACAGCACTCGCCGTTGCAAAACTTGCTCAGGATGCGGGCATACCTGATGGTGTAGTTAATGTTGTAACCACCAAAGAAGCAGCTCCTATTGGCGATCTATTTTGTAAAAGCCCTGATATTCACGGTATCTCTTTCACCGGCTCCACAGAAGTAGGCAAAATACTTTTCCGCCAATCAGCCGATGGAGTAAAGAAGGTATCTCTTGAGTTGGGCGGTAATGCTCCCTTCATTGTTTTCGATTCTGCAAATTTGGAAAAAGCTGTAGATGGGGCAATGGCTTCAAAATTCCGCAACTGTGGTCAGACATGTGTTTCAGCAAATCGCTTCTTTGTCCAGGAAGGGGTATACGATAAGTTTGTAGCGGGACTCAAACAGCGTGTTGAATCATTAAAAATTGGACATGGAGATTGTGCCGATACTCAAATTGGTCCTCTAATCAATACAATGCAATTCAATAAAGTTTCTGGATTTGTTGAAGATGCCCGCAGCAGAAATTGTAAAATCGTTACAGGTGGCAAGCCCCTAAAGGATCTAGGTGACCTTTTCTACGCCCCAACCATTGTAACTGATGTTGCAAAGGACGCAAAAATCTACACCGAAGAAGTCTTTGGTCCAATTGTTACCATTATTAAATTTAAAACCGAAGAGGAAGCCCTTAAAATTGCCAATGAATCGCGACGAGGTTTGGCTGGTTACTTCTTTAGTGAAGATGTTCAACAGATATTCCGTGTTGCTAAACGTCTAGAAGTTGGTATGGTTGGTGTTAATGAGGGTATCATATCTGCTGCTGAAGCACCATTCGGTGGTGTCAAAGAGTCCGGAATTGGTCGTGAGGGCTCCCACCACGGCATTGATGAATATACTGAAGTCAAGTATATTTGTTTGGGCAATTTGAAATATTATTAAATTTCATTACGTCACTGATAAAATACTCGTATTCAAGTTATAATAGCAGCTTTAAACATTCGTATTAACAAAGAAAGTCTTCCACGCAATATCAGCATTGCAATTTTGTCGTTTAATTGTATTAAGCCATACTTTGAGTCCTAAGCACTTGCAAATAGATAATATTATTATGTATGTTAATAAATGCAACATTTAGTCAAAATAGAGACTAGCCCTGTACATACTTGTGTTATTTTTCTAATTTTTGGTAGTACAAGAACAGAATGTTTATGTATGTTGAAAGTAACTACATGCCAATTATATGTCAAATTACATGTGTGTTCTCCAGATTTTCTCTATTTGAATGATGATATAAATTTTAAAAAACGAACGTAGAATGGCCTTATTTCTTTCGACATATAAAACAAACCATATCTCTTTCACATTTCTTCAAGATAAGGTAATCTCTTTTTTTAACCAAAATACGCGGAAATATACTCAAGTAGGTTTTGATGGGGCAGCTGTTTTGACATAAAATGACATATTGATCACGATAGAGCAATCAGGATAAAGGGCTTCAATAGACTAAACAATATATTGAATATTGTTTGCATGGTAGAATAAAGAAGGCAAAGTCATTTCAAATAAGCATATCCATCTTTGCATTTACTGTAACTTACATTGTCAAAATATATTGTGTAGATAACAGGTTCCCATCTCTGATTTGTAAATATACAGTGGGTTTATAAATAAATATTTATTCAATGAAATGTTGCTAAATGATTTATAGATTTTTAGTTATTTGAGCAATTCTTGCAGGTTCGGCAACAGAGCATATTGCAGTTCTGGAACAGAGCAACTCTGTATGAGCAAATACTGTATGATTCATAATATTTCCTATCACACACTTGCCTATGTTTTAAATATTTTCGGATGAATTTTTACCACAAACTTATTCAATATAGCAGGTTCTGCAATAAAACAGTTGTTCTGTTCCAGTACCAGCAAAAATCCAATCGCTTTGCAATTTTTTCGATATTATAAAGGGAAAATCGGTTATCGTAATAAAAACGTTTACATTCTTCCGGTGTTTTAAACATCCAAAAGTCGTTTTCTGTTAATTTTTTTAACATCCAATTGTTTTTCGAAAAATGAGAAGATTGCAACTCAGTTAAAAATAAATAAATTTGACATGGCAAATAAAAAATAAAATCAATAGGTAGCAGTGCCCTACCTTGATCTCATTGTACAATGGATTATCCACTAATTATGCCAATGTAAACAAGCCATTAGTTACGCTGCACAAACATGGTAGAAAAATACAGGTAGATGCATCAACGCTTGAGAGCATTGAAATGTCAAAAATTTTTAAATTTCTTTTCAAATATAAGTGGATTTTTATATGTTTTCTTATACTACACAAATCGTGGATTGTAAAGATATGCATTTCTCAACAATTTTTACAAATTTAAATAAATTTTCATTCAACATTTTTAATTCCAAAATTGGTTTGACAGTTCATTGTCCCAACAGTTGCGTCGATGCGTCTACCTATATTCTTCTACCATGCTACACAAATATCAACAATTTTTACAAATTTAAATAATTTTTCATTCAACATCATGGTAGAAGAATATAGGTAGACGCGTCAACACAGCTGCTGGGACAATGAACTGTCAAACCAATTTTGGAATTGAAAATGTTGAATGAAAAATTATTTAAATTTGTAAAAACTGTTGAAAAACGCGAATTATAGTAGCCTCCGAATGACGTAGTATAAGAAAACATATAAAAAATGAATGAAAAATTATTTAAATTTGTAAAAATTTTTGAAAAACGCAAATTAAAATAACCTCCCAATGACGTCGTATAAAAAAAAAAAAACATATAAAAATCTACGTATATTTGAAAAAAAAAAAAACATTTAAAGTTTTGTGACATTTTAATGCTCTCTGGCGTTGATGCATCTACCTGTATTCTTCTGCCATTTTCATTTACCAACACCTATGCTATGTTTACATTCAAACCCTTAAAAGTGTCATCAATCAATCATACACATTTTGTGTATGTGTGTGTATTGTTTTGAATAAAAAATACAATAATTTGAAATTATTTCAAATTTGTTTGGAAAGCAAATGCAAATTTTCGACGAAAATTGTCCAATTTTGTGATAAAACTTTATTGTACTACTATTTTAGATTCCATCTTGTGGAATAACTCCGCAATTTCATTCTTGTTTCGCGGTTTTTTTCCAATTTAAGTTTGTTATAAAAAAGTATACAAAGCCTACTGTTGCATATTTAAAAGTGTATTTGACACTATAAGACTCCAGCACATAGTTGCATTTTTCTAGATTCTTTTGAGTTGAGCCACCTTTCTTAGGGTTGTATTTCTGTAATTTTACGAAGCTGTTCTACCTCATTATTGTATCATGGTTATAACTAAAACTGTATTGTCCTACTATTTTATATTCCGTCTTGTGAAATAACCCCGAAATTCCAATCTTGTTTCGCTTGGTTCTTTCAAATTAAGAATATTGTTTAAAAAAATAACAAATTAACAACCTCATTATTGTATCATGGTTATAACTGAAACATAAAGTATTTTTTTGTTCATCAATTTGTTTAGACACTGTCAATGACAAAAAAATAAAACAAAATATTTTACAATTCCAAGGGTGCGAAATAGAAATAATAACAGAAGATATACAAAAATAAATGAACTAAAAATATATAAATATATAAAAAGAATTATTTATTAATACGAAAAATCACTTTACGTAGCCTGTGTAAATGTAGCATTAACTTAAATCCAGGGTTAACAATTCTCTATTGATCAGTCATTTCTTTGTTTCTTTGGTGTTGGCAACCATGCTGGCAATTTTATATTGCAAATCGAATGCAAAAAGGCGCCCGTAAACACACCAAACAAACCCAAGCAGCCGCTACAGAGGAAAACACGATTTAATTTCACAATTTTGGTAGAATATATAAAAAATACAAAAAATGAACGACACATGTAAGTTTTGGAAACAATTTGAATGAATAAAAGTGGTATTGTATATATGAACTCTAAGCACACTGTTTGGAAAATAGTGGCTTAAGAGGAATGGAGGAGAATCCATGATCTTTTCCTGGAATGGAACGGTGTAAAAATATATCAACATCTTATACATGCGCTTAACCTATTTCTTAGATATATCAGTGCGGCACATCGTTCTAAATTCACATTCCAAGCAGCCAGATTAAAAAGGCTTCCTTAGAGTAATATACAGCCACCATAGTCCCTAAAAAATATCTTTGTTGTAATAATTTTGTTAATGAAATTAACATATTTTATTGTGCATTTTAGTTGGAGGAGATTTTAATGCCACCCAAAGCCATGACGGAGCCGCTTCGGAAAAGAAGGCAGAAGGAATTGCTCCTGTTATGATAAAACAAATTCTCAGTTCACCTGAAGGAAACTTCCAAATGTTTGACATGAGCTTTAGTATGGTGTGCATCAAGGGCATCGTACGTAATATTGATACTTCATCGACCAAAATTACTTATACCCTGGAGGATAGTACCGGTCGCATAGAGGCACATTACTGGCTTGAAGAAGGTGACACTTCCAAGTCACCGAATGTAATGTTAAATCAATATGCAACCGTATATGGTAGTGTAAGATCACAGGGTGGTCAGAAGACATTGATGGTCTTCAAAATGTTGCCAGTAAATGACCCAAATGAAGTTGTTACCCACATCTTGGAAATGTTGAATGCTCGCTATAAATCTGAAGAATTTGCAACGAAGGGTAGCAATTTTGATTTCAATGGTGGCTCGAAGGCAAGCAATGATGGTGGCAGTTTTGGTATACAAAGTGGTAATGATTTAGGGCTGGAGGGTAAAAATTTGGCTATATTCAAGGCCATTAAAGAACACATTTCGAATGATGGTATCAGTCGCAATGAATTGAAACGAAAATTCACCCAAATGAAGGAAGCCGAGTTAAAGTAAGCAATACTTCCCTTAATATCGAATATCTAATTTTATTTTTGTTCTGTTTTTTTTTTTTTTCAGTGGTATTTTGGATTTCTTAATTTCCGAAGGTCACATCTATTCAAGCATAGACACAGATCATTTTCTCAGCACGGAATAGGAACATTCCTAATATCGAAATAAGCATTTATATAATATGTACTGTTTTTTTTTTTTATACAAATACACCAGAAATAAAATTTTCTTTTCACATGTTACAGTTTAGAACTCCGATTTAAGATTGACATTTATTATAATCGAAAATATTTAAATGGAAAATAATCTAAATACACAAAGTGATCCATGGCAATGATAAAAACTTGAAGTTCTCCTCGCCATGCAGCAGTATTCTATAATCCTAATGGTGTTCGGCATGTTCCTTGGCTTGTGATTCAGCCCAGGCTTTCTTGTTACCAGGAGAGTTAGCTGAAATACGAAAAATCACGAGTTAATATGTTACATATTCTTTCTAACTACCATCAATATCCACTTACCCAATTTGCTAATCTTGTAGAAGACAGGAATAGACAAACCAAAGGCAAGGAAGTAGTAGCGCCAGATCCATTGATTCTTAATGTAGTGCTTCAATGGGAATTGAGCGATTTTGGCAGAAAAGGTGTAAGGGAATTTCATGGGGTTGCCAACGGGCTTTTCAACAACTTTGTCAGCCATTTTTTGGATTTGCTACAAGTCTGGAAAATGAAAAGCAAACACAATTTAACGATTTTTACCCAACTTTTTTATTCAAAAATTATGTAATCTTAGTATTTTTCACAAAAAAATGCACTCCAATACCTCCTAGTCAAGAAATTTGCAAAATGTCAATGTACAACCTGAAGTTGGCTGTAGTGTTGTAGAATAATGTACTAGTTGGTAACCATATACAATTATAGTGTTGCCAGTGTTTGTTGTTATTTACACATATTAAAAAATTATTTGGTGTGTAAATCTTTCTTAAATTGTCTGATTTGCTTTCTCTTGGCCGATTGAAAAAATAAACTGTTAAATTAAGGTAATTTTTGTACATTGTTAAATACAAATCTATCTGTGAACAAGGACAAAGAATTATCCTACACCAGCATTCATTTATTTTTTTTGTTATACGATGTCGTTCACAGGCTGTCGAGATATGCGTTATCAACAAATTTATCTAACTTGCAAGAATCTACTGTAATTTTTTCGATATCGTAAAGGAAAAATCGTTTATCGTAGCCAATATTTGTAAATTCTTGTAGTTCTGGAACAGGCCAATAATATATAAAATTTTACTACCATCACCGATTTTTCCTTATGTTATCGAAAAAATTACAAGACTACTATAATTTTTAAGTCTTGGGACAGAACAAGTGTCTTTTTTCAGTTTCTTGCCAATATGACATCTTCCCAATTTTTTTGGCTTTTAGACAGTCATCTGCTCTGTTCCAGAACTGCAAAAAGTACACCTCTTACTTCGATAACCGATTTTTCTTTTATAATATCGAAAAAATGTGAAATTAATAGATTCTTCCAGGTTCTTTAACATTTGCTCTGTTCCAGTTCCTGAAAGAATCTACTAGTTTTGAAATTTTCGTCGATATCATAAAAGGGCAATTCGGTTATCGTAGTTAAATCTTTTACAATTTTGCAGTTCTGGAACAGACCAATACTACTACAAGGTTCTAAAAATGTTACGACGATAACCGTTTTTTGCCATTGGACAAAAATTGCAAAACTAGTAGATTCTTGCATGTCCTGGAACAGAGCAAATCAATTCAAGGTAGAACCTGTTTCAAACACAACTCTGAAGCTACAGTCTTGTAACTTCGAATTAAAAAATAAATGCGAAAAGTGTTGTTTGTTTAATTTACACATTTTTCACATATTTTAATTCCAAAGAAAATCGCATAGAAATAATGGAAGAACTCTGCTCTCAACCAGAATTGCAAGAATAAAGAAGTGGGAATACATAAAAGGCTTTTTTGATTGGCTTAAGTCATCGGCTGCATTTTCGGAAAAGAAAAAAGGAGCGGAGGGCCAAAATCGAACTAAGTCAACCTGAAACTCCTTTTTTTATCTACGAAGAAGCCAGCCAATGACTTAAGCCACTCAAAAAAGCGTTTACGTATTCTCACCTTTAAATTTTTTTCTACGAAATTATATAAATTATTAATTAAAAATTATTTAAATTAATTCCAATAATTTTTCTTGTTATAATTCCCATATAAAACTAGAAATAAGAAAGAATAAATAATGCGTCCAAGCGAAGGACGTTGTTAACTGGTTATTTCGTGTACGTAATTTTGAGATCGAAATACGGACCAAAATCGAACTAAGTCAACCTGAAACTCCTTTTTGTATCTACGAAGAAGCCAGCCGATGACTTAAGCCACTCAAAAAAGCGTTTACGTATTCTCACCTTTAAATTTTTTTCTACGAAATTATATTAATTATTATTTAAAAATTATTTAAATTAATTCCAATAATTTTTCTTGTTATAATTCCCATATAAAACTAGAAATAAGAAAGAATAAATAAAGCGTCCAAGCGAAGGACGCTGTTAACTGGTTATTTCTTGTACGTAATTTTGAAATCGAAATATGGACCAAAATCGAACTAAGTCAACCTGAAACTCCTTTTTTTATCTACGAAGAAGCCAGCCGATGACTTAAGCCACTCAAAAAAGCGTTTACGTATTCTCACCTTAAATTTTTTTTCTATGAAATTAAATAATTAATTAAATAAAAATTATTTAAATTAATTCCAATAATTGTTTTTGTTATAATTCCCATATAAAACTAGAAATAAGAAAGAATAAATAAAGCGTCCAACCAGTTACGAGAAGGACGCTGTGAACTGGTTATTTCGTGTATGTAATTTTGAGATCGAAATATGGACACATATCGTTGTGTCTCCAACTTACACCGGATTTAATGTAAATTCGCATTTATAAATATAAACTACAACCTCACTTCTCAAATGTAAATCAGTGGTAACAGTCAACGAATTGATAAGTCGATAAATCGATTTATGGACTTACATATCCCTAGTCTCGCGCCAAACTCTCTCCTTCTCTCATTTCGGAGACAGTTGCGTTTGGTAGCATTTGGTAAAAAATTTTTCATACAACAGAAAGAAGCAAAAGCACGCCAAACGTATTTTCGCGCGTTATTTTGCTAAAAAATTAATTTTACAATAAATCTTCGGCATTGATTGTAGTGAAAAAAGAACAAGTGCTTGTCGACAAACACAATAAACTGTGTATCAATGATTTTAACGTTGAAATAGGAAGCAGAAAAACTAATTTGTCTATGGTATTTTGTGTTTTTCTTTGGTGTTTGGAAGGAAAATTTTAAGTTTTGAGACACAGCATACAAGCACACTCACACCTTCGAACCAAACTCTTCTTCTGTGTAGCAGCTTTTTTCACACCACTTGAGGAAGGCTGAGCTGAACGACGAGATTGTTGTTGATTTTTGCAAACCCAGAATAATTTGCTGCTGAAAATGCCGATTTGCAAACGAGAAGGGTTTTATAATGTTACTTCGAAGGGGAAGGACGAAACTTTTCATGACAATGAAGATGTTTTCTACTGCGAAGTGACCAAGGAAATTTTCAAGGATTATGAGTAAGTGTAACTGAAATTAAGGACCACGGTGTCGAGCTGTTGTAGTGATGACTGTAACTAATGTATGTATATATTTTGTAGGGATTACTTTCGTCATGTAATGGCCATCAACAGTACTGTGTGGCAGTGTGAAGCCACCGGAAAAGACGATCTTACATATGCCGAAGCGTTGAAAAGCGAGCGAAGAGCTCGCAAGAAAATGGAAATGTTCAAAGACTGTCTGCGGCCCCCAGTTATGTTGGTTATTGAGCATGCCAAACAGAGCTCATTGAATGTTTTAAATGCCTTAACATTTCGCTTCCTACGTAAACGCTTTTTTCTCCAGGAGGAAGTATTTACGGGGAAAGGTACAAACACTACTTATCGTGTGGAGAGTATAAGCTCCCCCGATAACAAAGTCCCCGCCAATGGTGTATACGAAGACACAGACAAACTGTTGTACAAATTGAAAGGGACGGGAAATAAAAATTCAGAATTAACCCTGCCATTTGAAAAAATAAGAAGGAAGAAATTTGAATTTACTGGCGAAAACTTACAAATGTTTATTAAGAATAATGTTGTGCGTGTGGATGGTATTTTGAGGCCAAAGCCAGAATCATACCAGAAGTATGTGACGGATCGTAAAATCACATTCGAATCTTTGTTCATAGGGAAGATGCCACACTTTACACCAGCCAAAATTAAAAAACCTGACGAAAATAAAAACAAACAATCAACACTGAACAATTATTTCGGCAAAAAGGAAAATGATAAGACAGCTGGGTCTAAGAGTGACAAAGCAAAATTAGAAAAGGAAAAGGCTGAAAAGGCCGAAAAGGCGGAGACAAAGGCAAAGGCGCTGAAAGAAGAAATGGAACGTGTGAAGCGTGCTAAAGAAGAGGCCCTCTTGGCACAGATGCGCGAGAAGGCCGAAAAAAGAGCCAAGCTATTGGAAAAAATTGAAGAGGAAATTAATGCCTTGCTCACGAAAACCGATGATTTGGAGCGTGCTGATCAACGTTTAATGCCTGTCTACACGCCCATAAAAACTGTTATACCCACAAAACTAATCGGCGATGCTTTTATGCTGCGAGAGTTCATGCACACCTACGCCGGTTTGCTTTCGGGTATTGAAGTGTTTAAAAACAATCTCAGTTTTTACGAAATGGCACGTTCCTTTACTGTGCGCGAAGTGGCTGGTCCACTTTCGGACATTTTGCTCATACTTATTGGAACCATTTTCGATTTACAGCGTGAAGAGGAAGAGGAGGTGTACATTAGCTACAGGATGTCCACACAGGCGATACCCTACTGGACACATAAATATGTTCAAAGACATTTCTCGTTTCGTCTATATGAACTGCCCTTGGATGCCTTGACAGTAAGTGAGGTATTGCGTCTGCACTTGTTGGCCTCAGGAGGTATTGTTAAAGAGAAACAGGCAGAGAAATGGCGAATTATGTATCGCAATGGATATACATCACAGGAAGACCCTGGAATAGAACTAAGAATGCGACACCCTCACATTTTACGTGCTCTCAAGATGTACACAATCTATCAACTGCCTTACTTGGATATAATGCGCGTCATAAAATGTCTTATGGCGCAAATTCTAACCTATTCGCCAACAATAAATCTCATCGAGGAACGTATGGAGCAGATGGCTACAGCACGGCAGGAGCTTAAAACATTGGTTAGTGCCGAAAAGCAAAGAGAAGCTGCCGTACAAGCGCAAAAGAAACAACTTACCGTTGAATTTAATGTTCAATGTCTAGACGATGAAGTTAAAAACAACCCAGAAAAGCGCAAATCTTTGGAAGATAAACTCAACAAGAAAATAGCAGATATAATGGCTATATCGGATAGGGATCGACGCAAATTCGATCAACAAATTGCCAACACACATAGTTCGTTATTTAACTTTTTGGTTTACTTGGGCATGGACAGGGCTTACCGCAGGTACTATGTCCTGGAGTCAATGCCTGGAATCTTTGTAGAACATCCTACTGAATGTTCAGATAGATGTTTGGAAAATCCACCCAAAAATAATTTAACCAAAGGACTATCCTTAGACAAAGCTAATTTGCCAAAGAATCGTGGAAACCTTCGGGCAATGTTGCTAAAAATGTATACTGAACAGGAGAAAAAGTCCAAAAATGACATTGCTGCCCAAGAGGACAAAGAAAATCAGAATCAACAAAATGGATCAGTTGTCAATGGCCTGGCCAATGGTCATTCCAATGGAGAGAAAATGGATGTTGATGATGATGAATCTACACCTTCTCAGTATAAACTATTTATGTGCACAGGAAATCCTCGTGAATGCATTGTCCATGATGAACGCAATCCCGACCGCCATCGTTGGGCTTATCTCTACAAAAAAGAAGATTTGGAGGCATTAATTGAATCATTAAATCCATTGGGTTATCGTGAGTCCGAGTTAAGAGAACAGTTGACCACTCTTAAAGAACTTATTGTAGAACACATAAAGAACTGTCCCACAGATATGTTAAACGTGGATACCAAAAACCTGTCCAAGTTCAATACAAACATGATGGCCGAAACAACACGCAAATACAATAAATCCAATTTCGGTTTCCCCATCGATGGGGCTGATCTCAATGAAGTTATGTACGGCGCCTTAGTAGATCGTATACTCCAATTTGAGAGTGAAATTTATACTGGCGATTTGGGACGACTTAAAGTCAAGGATATGCAGAAATGGCGTGATGATTTACAAAACAGTCGCTATGATCCACAGGTCAAGCTTCAATGGGGTCCACCGAAAAATATACCGGCCGCTGGTTCAACGGAGGCATCCGAGGTCGATGCTGAACGAAAAGTAGATGACGAAGATGAAAATGGCTCGGACAATGAAACAGAGCAAGGCGAAAATGAAGAAAGAAATTATGCTGGTAAACCATATCGTGATCCTGGTGAAAGTTTAGGCGATACATTGGAAATCGACTCGGAAGATTCGGCAGATGAAGGCATTTCATTACATGATTCGGATACATTGCGTTCCTATGTAAAACAATTGTCTTCTGCTCTGCTACAAGTAGAGCAGGCCGTCGAAAGGCGTTTTCTTAAAGAACCATTCGGTGTTAACACAAATTATAAGGACAAAGATGTATTGGAACATAAACAAACACTGGCAGCGAATCGTCTGCGTCAATGGGAAGTTTCGTTGATGGAGAGTACAAGTTATTCACAGGTGAGTTATATACAGGGTGAGATAAAAAAAATATTTACATATTTTTTTTTTTTAATTTTATCGAATGTAACCAAAAAATGTCGGAAATAGTATCAAATTTTAGAATAAGTTTAGATTTGTTCGAATTGATCACCTTTGGCATTATGGCTTTCAAGCGGCCAATGAAACCGTCACACGCACGTATTTTGGCCCATTCCCGGCGAAGCGCTTGTTTGAGGTGATCGGCACTTCGATATTTTTTGGTGCCAACCTTGCTTTCCAAAATACTCCAGATACCATAGTCCAACGGATTGATATCAGAAGATTTTGGTGGCCATTGTGTGCTGGAAATGAAGCAAGGAACCTCATTTGGTAACCATTCTGGGGTGGCGCATGCTGAGTGCGATGGTGCTGATTCCTGTTGGAATGTCCAAGGTTTGCGGACAAAATGTTTGCGTGGCCAAGGCTTTAATACACGCTCCAGAATATTTTCACGATTATATTCGGCATTTATTCTGATGCCACATCATCGGCGCTTGAGTTCTGGTGGCCAACCGAAGGTGTACATTTTCAACTGACTCTCGCACTCCTTGGAATTTCAATGATTTTATCCCGAGCTCATTTTTCAATATTTACCGAATATTGCGATATGTTCAGCTTACGAGCCATTTTTCGGCCACTGCGACGCGAGTTTCAATTAAGTCGCTTCTTTACTTTTCGAACCATTTCTTCCTCCGTCCACTTCCTTGACGTCGGGCTACGCTACCAGTATCACGGTATCGAGCGATGGTATGAGACACAAAAGATTTATCCGCATTTAAACGTTGGAGTGTTCTAACGATAGCCACTTGTGGTTTTCCAGGCAAATATAAAGAAATCACACTATCACGCTTAAATTCCATCACAAAAATCTTTATTTTTGGAAAATTCTCACCTAAATGCTTTTGTACGTTTGTAAAAAATATAATGAGCTGTCACTGGAATAATTTTAAAAAATTTGCAGTTGGCAGTTGTAATCAAAGTAGAGAGACATTTATTTTCGAACTAAGATAACATTAAAGAGCTCTTTTTTTGGTCTGAGCATATTGAAAAGGCTTTATTTTTAGTCATATAGCATTTTAATGATTATTCAGAGACCCTACGTCAATCCAATAACAATGAAACCTTACACTCTGAACTCAATACAATTATCGACGCGGCCTGGGCGGATAGGGGAGCTGGGGCTCTTCCGAAAGGATCATTTATTAAATTGTTACGTTGGTGAGAATTCATTTCTGGTTACCTCGGAGGGGATTCAAGCCGACAGTATTAAATTTTCTTAAATGTGAAGGAATTTTTTAACCGACAATTTTCTTCATATCTGAGATCTTTAATTTTTTACGTATTGTATCAAATACTTTCTGTCAGTCCTGCAATCAGGTCTTTACTCGAATTTTAAAGACCTTCTGATGTATAAAATTGGTTTCTTAAATATTTTTGAAGACTTCTTTTTTTAAGACGGCCAAATTTTATACTTAATTTTTAGCTACCGTTCATAGACTAAATTATGAAGTAGAATTTTTTAAGATTTTTTTAACAGTCCTCAGTTCCATGATTTATTGAAGTTATTTTTGATATTTGAGTGATACGGAAACACGATTGTCAATTTTCTAATCGCTTGTTTTTTTTTTGTCCCAGGTGTTCCTTCACCTTAATCTTCTGTACGACTGCATCATGTGGGCGCGATCGACAAATAAATCCAATTGTGTCGTTTGTCGCCGCGGTAGTGATCCTGACAAAATGTTACTCTGTGACGAGTGTAATGCCGGTACGCATATGTTCTGTATGAAACCGAAAATGAAGACTGTTCCAGAAGGAAATTGGTATTGTAAACGTTGTGTCGATAAATTGGGACTTCAAAATGAAAATGACAAGAAGAATAAAACAACACAACGTCGTAAGCGTAAGTTTATTGTCGAGGAGGATAACAGTGATGTGGCGTCTGTTTCGTCGGAAACTACTGGCTCGAAAAATGGCCGAGGAAACGACAAGGGTCGTAATAAACGTTTACAATCCAATGAAATTGAAGACATGCTGGAGGAGGAGGATGACGAGAATGGCGAACAAGATACTGTGGATGATGATGCTGCCGCTGATATCAGTATGGAGGATGAGGATGGAGCTGAAGAAGCTGACGAAGACGCAGAGGGAGATGAAAAAGAAGAATCAAATAATGAATCCGAACTTGATGAGTAAGTTTTTTTGAAGAGAAAGAAGAGACAAAAACGTAACATAAAAACGCATTCTGCTTTTAAGGGATGAAAATGTCTGCAACATTTGTTCATACGATGGCAGTGAAATATCATGTACAACATGCAAAGATTCCTTCCATTTAGAATGTATAAAACTAAAGCGAATGCCGCGTTACAACTTTTTATGCAACAAATGTAAAAACAATGAAAATACCAAGAAGAGAAAGAGCAGGACAAATGGTAAGTATTGGGGGGACAAGTGTACCAAGAAGCCGTAATAGTTTAAACGCAACCTGTTCTTTTTTTTAACAGATTCTCAATCGGACGAAGAAAGCAGTGACGATGATGAGCCACTGGTTAAACGAGGTCGCTCATCTCGGCCCTCTTCACAGCGTAATTCATTGGCAAACACAAAAACCGAACAAGATTCCTCCACTACAAAGGCATCAAATGGCAGACGATCGATACGTCGAACTGCCGATAATTTACCTTTAAATAATTCAATACTATATGAACTTTTAGAGAAAATTATGAAAAATGAACATTCTTGGCCATTTTTAAGACCCGTATCACAATCTGAAGTTCCCGATTACTATGATATCATTAAAAATCCCATGGATTTTGCAAAAATAAAATCCAAACTGAACATGGGCTCTTATCAAATCAATGAGGAAGTGATGCGTGATATAGAATTGGTTTTTGGAAATTGTGATGAATACAATGTTAAAGGCAATGAAATTTATGAGTAAGTTCTTTCATCACATAATGAGAAAAGAGATTTTTGAAACATTGTTTTTTTTTTCTTTTTTAGGGCTGGATCAGCATTAGAAAAATACGTCATAGGCATGTGTAAAGAAATGAATCTGCCGTACAAACCAAGCGATATGAATTCTGAAGTTTAGTCTAATTTAATCGCAGCAGCAACACATTCAACAACAAAAATGAGCGGTCGGCCTTTAGATTTTGTATTATATTTCCATAAAATGTTTTTTGTAACAAAATTCCCTTGATGCAGTACCCTTTTTCTAAAAAAAAACAATATCCAAGTTTGTAGTTATTTTATATTTTAGTTACAACGTACAAATTGGAATTATAAATTTATCAATTTTTTTCTTTGGCTTATTTACCCAAAAAATTGTTCATCGTTAATTTCCATTTTCGAAATATGTTTATCCATATCCCCGTATTATAATATCGTTAATGTGTGTGTTTTCCTTCAAGCAAAACAAAACAAACCGTCTTTATTTTTATACGTATTTTTTCGCAAGTATATTTCTAATAAATAAATCCCCCAAATATTTTTTATTATTACTTAAAAATATATTTTTAATTAAGCATTGAAAACATGTTTTTGTTTATAATAATATGTGTAAGTCTAGAGCTAAACAAATATATAATAAGATTTCTAATATAATTAAGATTCATTCACTTACTAAGTAGAAACAAAAACAAACAAAACAAAAAATGTTGAAAAAGAAGAACAAAAAAAAAAAAAAAAAACAAAGAACATATATACCTGCACACACATGGCTAAAATAAATTATTGAATAAAGTTTGCATCAACCAAACATATTACATTTGTTACTTACTGTGAGATTTTGTGAATGAAAAAACTGCAATCAACTTCTGACTGCTGCCATTTCGAATCCACTCGTCCGACAGCTGTTAAAATTATTTCAGTGACAGCTCATTATATTGTTTACAAGCGAACAAAAGCATTTTGGAGAGAATTTTCCAAAAAAAAGTTATTCGTGATGGAATTCAAGTGTGATAGTGTGATTTCTTTATATTTGGCTGGAAAACCACAAGTGGGTATCGTTAGAGCACTCAAGCATTTAAATGTGAATAAATCTTTTGTGTCTTTTACTATCGCTCGTTAACGTGATACTGGTAGCGTAGCCCGTCGTCGTCAAGGAAGTGGATGGAAGAAAACAGTAACATCAGCGGAAATGGTTCGAAAAGTAAAGAAGCGACTTGATCGAAACCCGCGTCGCAGTGGCCGAAAAATGGCTCGTGAGCTGAACATATCGCAATATTCCATTCGACAAATAATGAAAAATGAGCTCGGGGTAAAGCCATTGAAATTCCAAAAAGTGCAAGAACTTACACCGCAAGAGAAAGAAAATAGATTCAAAAGAGCTAAAGAGTTGCTTCGCTTGGCCGAAAGTGGTGAACTGACGAATTTGGTTTTTTTCCGATGAGAAAACATCGTTGCCCTGCAGTTTGTAAACAAAAAAAAAATGATCGTGTTTACTTGCTAAAGAGGTCAGCTGAAAATTTGCAACTTCGGTTGGCCACCAAAAGTCAAGCGCCGGCCATGGCGTAGGTGTGGGCCGCCGTAACAGCCGATGAATGCTCTCCGCTCGTATTAATCGACCGTGGCACCAGAATAAATGTCGAATATAATCGTGAAAATATTCTGGAAGGTGTATTAAAGCCTTGGAAACGCAACATTTTAGCCGCAGACCTGGGTCATTTCAACGGAATTCAGCACGCGCCACCCAAGAATGGTTACAAAATGAAGTTCCTCGTTTCATTTCCAGCGAACAATGGCCACCCAAATCTCCGGATACCAATCCGTTGGACTAACGCGTCTGGAGTATTTTGCAAAGCAAGGATGGCACTAAAAAATACCAAAGTGTCGATCAACTCATGCAAGCGCTTCGCCGGGAATGTGTTAAATTACCGCAGGTCAAAATTCGGGCAGCGTGTGACGGTTTCATTGGTCGTTTGAAGGCCATAATTCGTGCCAAAGGTGACCAATTCGAATAAATCTAAACTTATTCTAAAATAGAACAGTGTTGGCTTGTTTGTTCGGATTACCGTAGTATTTTGTTGTTGCAAAATGGTCAGGCTTTATCCCTTTATTGTTTTTTTTTTTTTTATAAAAACAACGTTTGTTGTAAGATTTAGAAGACTTTCCAAAAGAATTTTAGTTTTATTTAATTCTTTGGTTCCCCTTCTCTGGAGCTAACGATCTCGTCACTTGGGTAAAAAAATGTTTTTTGTCATAGAAGTTATTTTTAAAATAACTTCTGGGGAGAATATCCCAGACAAAAAACAAGGGAACTGATGAGGATTGGTGGCTCTTTTCGAAACCTAGGTATTCCCTGCCTTACCCCCTGGTAAACATTACCATCGTTTTCCACTAATAAACAAACGTTGTTTTTATAAAAACAACAATAAAGGGTAAAGCCTGATCATTTTGCAACAACTTATTTTAAAATTTGATGGTATTTCCGACGTTTTTTGCTTTCATTCAATAAAATTTAGAAAAAAATGTAAAAACTATGGCGCTTGCATTGTTGCAGTTTATTTTATCTCATCCTGTATACCCAAAATGTAAATATTCCAAGGAATCGTAAACCAAAAATTTCAAAAAATTGGAAGAAGGGCAAGTTTTCACCTCTATTTAGGTTACTTTGTGATGTAAACTTTCTAAAAGCCGATAGAGTTTTCTTCTACTTTTATAATCTATTGGATTTTCTCCATAATTATAGGAAATATTGAATTTTATTGCACAGTGTCCAACGAGACCCACCAGTGAGTAATTAAAAAAAAAAAAAAATAGTTCATAAACACATTTCGAAATATCTTATTCTTTATTTCAATTTTAAATTTTATTCACATATATTTTAAATGAAGTAACCAAGCCAAAACAAATGAATACATTTTACAAAGAGATAATTTTGGCTGCAGCACTGTGTGCATTATTAATAAAAAATGAGTTTGACATTATTCGAAGATAACAGATTAGTGTTGTGGAGGCCAATAGGGATGAGAGAGAGAGAGAGAGCGGGAACGAATTTGATTTATTTTTATTTTGCCATTTAAAAAAAAAAAAATTCAATTATTAATAGGACACACTATTGTGCAAGTCTTATTTCTTTCAAGTCTCCTAAAGTTGTATGAATATGTAAAGGGAGCGGGAGGGGTGTAAAGGTTAGTTATTTTTTATGTCTCTAAACTATATGACAATTATGGAACTAAGTTTTTATGTTGTTTGTTTGTGTTTTTTTCTTCTTCTTTTTCTTTATTCACTTTCCGAATCATCAACAAATTGTTTACGATAATTACGACGTACTCTGGCCAATTTTTGTTCATAACGCGATAATTTCTGTTGATATCTTTGAATTTTTAGGGTAACAACACCTTCATCTTCACCATTTTCCATGCTATTGACATCAGCAGGACATTCATTGTCTGCATTGTGTGTGTCTTCTTCTTCCAGGCATGGCGACAAACGATGGCTCATAATGTAGCGAGATGTGGAGGCGATCTCAGCCTCGTCATTGTGTTCTATGGTACTGGGTGTGGTCAGCGAGTTATTTAAACTGACACCACTGTCCGGGGTGAAGAGATAAGAGCTGTTCATGTTGCTGTTGTTTAAAAACATTGACATATTACTGCTGCTGTTATTTAGATTTGTTGGCCTCTGAGGTGTGGTATTTTGTTGCTCCTGATTGTGATTGTAGTCCTCCCCGCCCCCGGCATTGCCATTTAGAAAATGATCACCCACCAAACCGAAGATATCATTATTGTTAGTTTCATTGTTATTTTCCTCCATCTCTGCAAGATTGTTGCTATTGCGCCTTATGTGTATGTAATCATTGAGGGAGATTTTACGTTTCTTCAGGGGTGATGATGATGATGATGAAAAATTGGAACATTGGACCTGAGCATTATAATCACCATTTTCCATTTCCGGTTTTTGTAAATTGTACGAGGACGATGATGAGGATGATGCGGCCGATAACGAGAGGGTAGATGAAGAAGTGGATGGGACCGCTGCCGCCACATCAATATGGGGATTGAAGGCGTTCTCAGGTTCCTCATCACAGTGTCTTTTCTTGGGAGATTTATTGCCATTGGAAGCAGCACTTTGCATTGTCTCATCATAGGCAGCATTGCTATTGTCTGTACTCGTACTACTACTGCCACTGTGACGATTCATGCGACTATTGTGATTTAGACTTGAGCTTTGTGGTTCAAAATATTCGGTATGGGAAGAATTTGGTTGAGGTAGTATTGTTTCAGTTGCATTAATCACATTTAGGGCCGCCGATGTTCTAGGTTTTTGCGACTTTCTCATGTGTTTGAATTTATCATGACTGCCGCCGCCATCACCATTGCTGCTCCGGTCCGGACAGTTTTCTTCATTTGGATTTTTATTGGCACCATTTATCTTTTTCTTATTAACCTGTTGTCCATCGTCTTCGTGTGATGGGGAAGATGTTGGTATATTTTTTGAGTTTTGTTGATCCGAATCTTCTTCAGAATCGGACATAAATATTTGACGACTCAAACGTAGGAAGGCATCTGTAATGGAAAGAAAAAGAAGAAGAAAATTAATAAACTAAATTGAAATAATTGCTATAAATAAAAAAACCAGGCAAAAATATAATTGCAGAAACTATTTAGTATATTATGCAAAGTAACCCACAAGGTTCGTGCAAATCCTACCCTCTTCAATATTAGGTGGGTCTGGTTACCCTAAAAGTTGTAACAATTGTTACAAATTGTTACTGGAAGTCGTCGGTTAACCCGAAAGTTCTGCAAAAGAGAGCGGTTCAGAGAGAAATTTTGACAGTTCTTTCAGTGAGAGTTTGCAAATTCTTGCTGGACAAATTTCTTCTTGCAATCTCTTGCAACTCTTCTTCTTCTCATTCATCGACATTTAATCAGATGTTTTCTTTTGTTTATTTATTTCTTTTTGTGCATTCAATTTGAAAATATCGTTTTGGAATAGGCTAAACAAATTGTTTTTGGAGAATATCTTAACAAAATGTTAAAAACATAAATATTAATATGTAATAAGGAAATAAAAGAGTATTTCCAACATTTTTAGACAAACGCCATTAGCAGCAGGTTTAAAGCATTCCGGGGAACACATCAAATCTATTTTTGTTTTATTGCTCATATTTGTATTTTATTGCCAATTTTATTTTCATTTATAAAACTTGTAAAATTGGTGGTGTTTCCTTTATTTTAATTCTTTTAATGGGGGACAAATTGGTTTGTTTTGACAAATCAGCTGATTAGTTGCAAGCATCTGCAGGAATACCGTCTGTTTACTTTTCGCCTTTTCCTTGCAAAAGAGAATGTAACTACCTCACTCTCTCAGAAAGAAGTTGCTGGACAATTCTTGCTGGAAAAGTAACCAGACACACCTATTTTTGGAAATTTTCGGATTTAGATTCCTGGGAAACCGAGAATTTTAGGTTTATAGAGTCTACACCAATACAACTGACTGCACTACGAACATTATTTTACATGACGTTTGCATATAAATGAGTTAACCCACTGGAATTGGATTAAAATAGTCATATCCATTATTTATACTTTATTTACATCCTCTTAAATTGGGTTAAACCTACAAAAAGTTTTAACGTAAATTAGTCAAACAAATTTAAGTATTTATAACCCAAACTAGATATGCTATTGAACAGGGAAATTATAACAAAAGTGTACGAAAGAAAACAGCAACATCAGCGGAAATGGTTCGAATAGTAAAGAAGCGAAAAATGTCTCGTGAGCTGAACATATCGCAATATTCCATTCGGCAAATATTGAGAAATGAGCTCGGGGTAAAGCCATTGAAATTCCAAAAGGTGCAAGAACTTACACCGCAACAGAAAGAAAATAGACTCAAAAGGGCTAAAGAGTTGCGTCGCTTGGCCGAAAGTGGTGAACTGCCGAATATGGTTTTCTCCGATGAGAAAACCTTCGTTGCCCAGCAGTTTGTAAACAAACAAAATGATCGTGTTTACTTGACAAAGAGGTCAGCTGACCTCGGTTGTCACTAGACCTCAAGCGCCGGCCATGGTGATGGTGTGGGCCGCCATAACAGCCGATGGTCGCTCTCCGCTCGTATTAATCGACTGTGGCATCAAAATAAATACCGAATATTATCGCAAAAATATTCTGGAGGGTGTATTAAAGCCTTGGGCGCGCAAATATTTTGGCCGCAGACCTTGGACATTGCAACAGGACTCAGCATCCGCCACCCAAGAATGTTTGCAAAATGAGGTTCCTCGCTTCATTTCCAGCGCACAATGGTCACCAAAATCTCCGGATACCGATTTGCTGGACTATTGTGTCTGGAGTATTTTGGAAAACAAGGTTGGCACTTAAAAATACCAAAGTGTCGATCACCTCAAGCGAGCGCTTCGCCGGGAATGGGCCAAAATATCGCAGAGCAACATTCGGGCAGCGTGTGACGGTTTCATTGGCCGTTTGAAGGCCATAATTTGTGCCAAAGGTGACCAATTCGAACAAATCTAAAATTATTCTAAAATTTGGTGCTATTTCCGATATTTTTTGCTTTCATTCAATAAAATATAAAAAAATCCTGGCGTTCGACTTTGTTGCAGTTTTTTATCTCACCCTGTATTTTCTTTGTAGTTATTTAAAAAAATATTTTGTCGTATAGTGTTAATAAAAAGACCCTTTAAAATCCAGTACAAAGTCTTTAATAATCTTAGAAAAAATCTACGATTAAAGAGCAGGTGAGGTGCTGAAACATTTCCTAAAAATCCACCAGAATAGACCTGTGGACGAGTTTTGAGAGTTCTCTTAAAAAAATCCACGATTAAATACCATAAGCTCTTAAAGTTCTCTTAAAAAAATCCACGATTAAATACCATAAGCTCTTAAAGTTCTCTTAAAAAATCCACGATTAAATACAATAAGCTCTTAAAGTTCTCTTAAAAAATCCACGATTAAATACCATAAGCTCTTAAAATTCTCTGAAAAAACTCCACGATTAAATACAATAAGCTCTTAAAGTTCTCTTAAAAAAATCCACGAGTAAATACAATAAGCTCTTAAAGTTCTCTTAAAAATCGACGATTAAATACTAGAAAAGGGGGCACGAAAAAAATGAAAATGTAACAATGTGAATCCCCAAATTAAATTAATGTTTTTGAGAATTGTCTCTAAAAACCCACGATTAAATCCCAGAAAGAGATCTTTGAAAAATTATCAACATCCACGATTTACTACTGAAAGAGGGTTATAATTAACAAAAAATAAACACCATAATATCTCATAAACTTTATACAAACTATTTTCAAAACTAACTCTTCAGCTAATAACCATCTACACACCTTCAAATTTATTGACACACTGAAGTGATAAACTTTAACTTTAATAGAATACTACTACTACTCGATGTGTGTTGTAAACAACCAAACGGCTTAATGATGCGGATTTAGTTGCCGGCAAAATGTCAGTGTATGTGTGTGCTTATGAGGTATAGTCACCACGTTTGGATGTTAACACCGATTCTGCCACGATGATAAGCGACTACAACACGTGCACCATACGTACTATGGAGTCGATGTGAAGTTCAACAAACCTCACTGTATATGAAGATAATATTTGCTACTCCAAAACGGATATGTGTATATCATGCAAAGTAATTGCAAGGAATGTCAAGTGTTCCATTATGGGCTAATTAATATTAATAAATATTCTGGCAAAAATCACACACAAAACTGCAAATCACAAAGTCAAATGCGATTTTACAGTGGAACGAAAACAGTAGTCGAGAGTGCCGAAAGATTTACATTTTTGTTAAAAATTCTTGCAATATTTCGAATACCAGCTTCAAAATGGTCCTTGAAAAAATCTCACAAGATCCACAAATATAAAATCTTGAAATGAATCTTGAACGACTTTTGTCCTCTCCTTAGTTATTTACATCTGTATCTTCATTTGCTAGGGCCGCCGAAGCCGTTGATGATTCAACATCATCTACTTCGCAAAGTAAAATAGAGATAGTACAGGGTTGCCCATATTCGACGGACCCATCTGGCAACGCCATAACTTTTGACAGAGATGTCACATCGCTTAATGACATACCGCGTTTGAAGCGTCAGTCCAAGCAGATTTTTACCATAAACCAATACACGCCACGCGAAATAATTGATATTTACATTCAACAGAAGAAGTCAATTGTGAAAACTCAACGTGCTTTTAAAACATTAAAAAATGTGAGAAGTGCGCCTTCTAAGAACACCATTAAGCGTTTATACGAAAAATTTTCGACTGGTAAGGCTCTTTCTAATCCGAAAAGGCCATATAAAAAGTCTAAAAATATTTATTGAAAAATTTCTTCGAATCCATGAATTTAAATCTCAAAATGGTCTTTAATAAATCCATGATACACATTTCATAATGATTTTCTAAAAATTCTTGAAAAATTCCGAATACCAGTTTCAACATGGTATTGGAAAACATTTTATAAAATCCATAAATCCCAATCTTGAAATAGATTTAAAACAAATACTCCAAAATTCATAAACATAAATTTTAAATAGTATTTGAAGAATTCTTTCAATATCCACAAATTTAAACCTCAAAATAAATTTAACTGCAAAAATAAATATCAAAGTGGCCTTTGAAATCAACGAATATAAATTACAAAATGCTCTTTGAAAAATTTTTTAAAATTGAGTTTTTTTTTAATTTTTTTTTAGAATTACGAAAATCAATCTAAAAATGGTCTGTAAAGTTTCTTAAAAAATGAGTTTTTAAGAATCTCTTTAAAATTCATAAATTTAAATCTCAAAATATCCAGGATAGTTCATAAAAGTCCAGGAATATAAATCCACAGATAGAGATGATCCTTTTTTATGTGTATCTGCATTTTCCGAGCAGGTCTCCGCTATTGGGGCTACAACATCAACTATAACGAGAATATTCTGAAGTATGAACCTAAATGTAAAATCGAGGGAACTTTACTCCAAATTATTTTTTATCAGGTAGAATACTGTTAGTTCGCACCTTGAACAGCGTTAATTTGTAAGAATTACAAATGTATTTGTCTGTAAACATTGTATTCATATTATAGTTTTAAGTGCCATTTAATACTATAATTTAATTGTCACAATGTAACTACACTAGAGTGCCCTTCAATCTACGATGAAAAAATAAAAAACTAAACAAGTTAAAAAGGTATCCGTCGGTTTTGCCGACAGATTTATACCTTCAGCCTTGAGTTATGATTGTTCAAACTGTTGACCCTTTATTGGTGAGGTTCCTCCAAAGGAGTGGGACAATATTGTCCATTTTGTATCTGAACTAAGTCTGATATACAGGGTGAGATGAAAAAACTGCAACCAACTTCAGACTGCTGTCATTTCTAAGCCACTCGACCGACAGCTGCTAAAATTAATGCAGTGATAGCTTATTATATTGTTTACAAGCGTACAAAAGCATTTTGGTGAGAATTTTCCAGAAAAAAAGTTATTCGTGATGGAATTCAAGTGTGATAGTGTGATTTTTTATATTTGGCTGGAAAATCGCAAGTGGCT